GAAGAGGTTCAAAGTAGAGAAGGTAAAAATAGTCGGATGCAACGACTCGATAGCTAGAGCAGCCTTCCAAAAAGAACTTCCAGCAGACCACCCGCTATTCGGAAAATTGATCATGAAAGAAGATCTAACTCTGGCAGACTCTTTTGCTTTGGCAAAGAAGCATGCACTTTGGGATGAGGCTCGCCAATGCACATTCAAGGACTTGAAAAAGTACCCGACATCACCTCCCTAGAAGCAGCGGAAGACTTATTCGCATGTTTGACGGTATCTAAAGTAACAATAAACTCTACCATCATGTGAGAAGAGCTAGGGGCCCGACTACCTGTATTCTACAGTTCAAAAACTCTCCTCAATGCTATTAAAAATTCAAAAGCTAACTTTGGCGATAATTGTTGTAACCTAAAAGCTTAAGTTTTACCTTCAAGCGCACGCAGTCATCATCATGACGCACTATTCCGCCGAATCCAAACCGGCGACAATAAAGGCGTAGACCCTGGCAGATGCAAAGTTTTCTGACGAACGCAACAACTCGGCCCAACGACGCCCCGAAGGCAACTGAACACACTTTAGCCACACCTGCTCCTTCAATGGAGATTTCTGGCGTTTGCATGTCGACGACGCATCCAACTACGAAGGCTCGTGAGCGCTGTGGTTCTTGCCACCCCAGACGTTTCAATGCTCAAGCAGGCGACCACTCTAAGCTTCAAAGCATCTAACAATGAAGCAAAGTACAAAACCCCAATAGCAGGCCTTCAAATGACAAAAGACTTGGTGGTAAAAAAGCTTTCAATTCATTCCGAAGTCCTAGCTAATCACCAGCCAGGCTACTAGGGGCAAAGGCATGATAATCGTAGCAACCGACTACTTCACCAATAAGAAAAGAAAATGGCCAGACGAACTCCAAGGATGTCTATGGGCATATCGCACAACCAAAAGACGAGCAACCGAAAGGAGATGGCCACAAGCTTAGATCTGGCAGAAGAGAGGCGCAAACAAACTATCACTCACATCGCAGCCTACCAGCATCAGCTCTTCTCCAGCTACAATAAAAGGGCCAAGAGCCGGCAGTTCCAGCCTGGAGAACTGGTCATAAGAAAAACCTTTATCACTGCCAGTAGAAAAGGCTTCAAAAATATGGATCCCATCTGGGAAAGTCCATACAAGATCAGCAGAGTATGTAGCAAGAACAATTACACCCTCGCCACCATAAAACGACAAAAAGATCGAAAAATAGTGGAACGCCTACAATCTGAAGAAGTACCATGTGTGACCTCTCGCTACATCAAAGTCCGAAGACTCAAGCAGCTCGACGGGCACTACCTCACCAGCCGAGGATTATCCAGTTGTTATGCAGTTCTTACCTTACATCTAAGTTCTCGTTTGTTTAACTCGTTTTTCAATGAGAAATTCAGAAGTAATCACGACTTGGCTTGGCTGTATGCTTACAACAACTGATCACTCCTGCACTTCAAAAGAAGACCGCGCCCTTCTTAGGGACTTACCGCAGGAATTGCGCCCCACGAGGGACCAACCATGCTCTCCAGTGCGAGAGGGTAAACTAATTGCTCTCCAATGCGAGAGGGTAAACCAATTCCCCGACACCCACATGGGTCAGCTCTCCAAGAACGAGAGGATAAACTTTACACTCCGAATATCCAGACGTGGATGAGCCGGGCTGCCCTAGTATAACTAGATGCATGATGGCTTGTGCCGAGATTCCTAGAAGTAGTCGCAATGGTCTTTTTCAAGGCTTAGCTAACTGAAGGATTTTGGGTCTCTTGGCCTAATCCGTGGGGAACTGGGTCCTAGAGATGGAGAGGGCACATTACGCAGTACATCCGATGGACGGCTGCCCTGGAATCCTAAAGCTGCTACCGAGTGCACTAAGGTAGCCTACGGATTCCGGAAGACTGCCTACGGCTTGCCCTTCGAGCAGTAAAGCCGCACTAGACTTTTACAACCACACATTCTTGTGAAAGGTTAAACAAGCTAGCACGCATATACGAAGTTTTATCCACTGCCGACATGCTACATAGTCGATAAGCTTCACATCTGCCAAGCGCGGAACAACCTACACCAAGTCCTAAAGTGTTGTGATACTTGCTAAGCAACCTATGGAATTGGAGAAACTCAAGGTTAACAGCCTAGTGGTTACGCAGACTTGTCTGCTTCTAAAAGTAAGGCATCCGGCTGCCAACCCAATGACTAACAACTTTGCAAAAGTTCTATACCAACACCTACGGCTGCATAGGCTATGCGAGCTTGTCTGCTTATAAAAAAGTAGCATGCTTACCACTGGTCTATCAAGTCTAAAGGTTAGGGCATGAACAAAAGAAGCAAAAATGAAGAAAAGCTAAGGAAAACATGTTTATAAACAACTAGCAAAGGCCGAAGGAGTTCAAGCAAAACAAGAGCTACAAGGAAAAAACAAAGAAAATCTTAAAGGCTACCTAGATGACTACACTTTAGCAGCCTGGACATCCCACGACTATTCAGTCGCCACACCTTCAGCAGCCGCGAAGCTCTTAGCAGCGGCATAATCCCCGACTGCTCCAGCCTGGGCACCAACTTCTCCAACTACTTCACCAATACCAACATGGACGCACTGCAGCTCATCCACTTCTTTCTTCAAACTTTCGTTGATCTTCAGTACACCTTGAAGTTCCAACACTTGGGGCTCAAGCTTATCGACGATTCTCTTGAAGTTGATCACTTGATTATAAACAGCAATCAACTTTTCATCCTTTGCATAAGCAGCGAAAGAAGTCTTTGGTTTTTTTCTCAGCCAGCATCTCTTGAGCAGACAAGGAAGATCCTTTTTTCCACCTTCACTTGCAGCAGGATCCACAACGGTGATTGGACGAGCCAATGCATCCGCCTTGATCCTATTCACCTCTTATTTTGTGAGCAGCCCACGTTTCTCCTGACGAAGAGAGTTAAAGTAGCCAACGTCATTCGTGGTACCCAGCAGGGGAGTTCAACCCAACATTCCAGCAGCTCATGAGGCCCGCAACCTCTTCATTTCTCTCAATCACCTACCTAGCTCGCGCCATGTCCAAAAGCTCAAAAAGATATGAGCCATGTGACTCGCCTAGCACTGCGCCACAGTGCCCGTGGCCTCAGCCATACAAGCTGCCCTTGGTTCTAGCCAAGTCGAGCAGCTTAAAGCAGTGGTCCCTGCCACAATACATCATCAGCCCATGCCGAGCCGACTCCTGGCCCATGCCAGCCAACGTGCCGCACCACCCCGACGGCTGCCCCGAGGTAGCACCATCCAAGAAGAAGACAAGGAAAATTAATTTTTTCTTACCTCAGTGCGGCACGGAGAAGAAGAAGAAATCAACGAAAGACGGTCCTTTGCACGGGCAAGATGTAGAAGATTGCTAGAGGAGGGGGAACAAATATCCTCTAACTTTCTCTCTCTTGTTGGGTAGAATAAATCGCTCTCCCAAGTTGATTTAATAACCCACTTAAGGTGGACTTAAATAGGCTTTGAGAGAAATTTATTTCCCTTTCTTAGAAGGATCTAATTTCCATTTAAAGAGAGAATTAACATCAAAATAGGAAGCAGTCTTAAGTTTCCTAAAGCAAGAAGATCTCTACACCTGCTGCCCTTTTCTGCGAACAGCCCAATAGGTGTGGGGGCATTTGTGGAGCCAAAAATATTCACAAGGCGACATGTGGATTTTGGGAAAAAGAAGACAAAAATACCCTTGAGGTATAACGAGGATCCTACATGCGAGTAGCAAGCAATCATCCTCAACCAAGTCAAAAATGCTCCAGAAAAGGTAACCAATTCCAAATTATCTCATCCATCCACATTTTAGGTAGTTATTTCATAACCTACCAATTATCCTACATAAATTGAGATAATTGACAAATTAATGGGATTATTACTCATTAATTTGTCAATTAAATTAGCCATAACACCAAAAAAACACCCTAAAGGCCGGTTATCTCTCTCCCAAAAGAGGGGCCGGCCATCTCCTTTATTTTCCCACTTTGACTTACCTTTTTCACATCTGATTAGCTAATCTTTTTGATTGATTAGTTGATCATGCCATAAAAATCATATATTCATTCCTTTTTGTAATGTTAATTAGCCAATTAATATATTTACCTAAATAATATATTAATTGTTAATTGAAAGTCATCCATTTAACCCCAAAACTCCCAAATGGCCGGCCATCCTAGTGGATCTCCCCATATTTGCCCATTTCATCCCACTAATTAGCTAATTAATTTGGCAATAATTCTATTTAGCCAAATTAATTAGTCAATTAACTACATAACTCCTAAAATTACCATCAATCATGAACAAAACCCAAAAAACCCTAGCCACCTCCTATCCCTATAAATATACTCTCATTCTCACCAAAAAAGCCAATTCCAACACTTTGGCAAAAATCCCAAAATTCTCTAAACACTCTTTCTCTCTAAATTCTAACTTTGGCATCGGAGGTTCTTCGGCCAAAGCCCCCCCCCATTCATCGTGGGCACATGAGGCTCTTGGCCTTAACCTAAGGTGTTAATTATTTTGTAGGTGCAAAATTGTCCAAGATCAAGGAGGAAGAAATTTGCATCCACATCGTTTACATTGCCACGAATAAGTGAAAGCCATCTGTGCACAATGAGTACCATTAATTGATGCTAATCTATTGAATGAAATGATGGTTACAAAGCACGAACGATCAGAATCAGCTTAAGCGCAAAGTGATTTTAGCACTCATCATTTATTGAAATGTTGATTCGGTCATATTTTAGGTGAAGCGAATGCAAATGTCCAAGAAACATTGAATCTGTATTTTGATTCAATTTATACAAGTATTTTAAAGTTTGAAGAAACAAGAACAAGAGCTAGCATGAAAGAACTCTTTATAATTACACAAGATAACAAGAATATAATATACATGTAGTGATCATGAAAAGAAACTAGGCAACAAAATGGTGTATGATAATTCAATTCAGAACAACATTCCAAGATCTTATAGAACAAAATCTTAAGCATGAAATGGGAAATATAATTATTATCTTCTGAGACATTTGACATAATAATAATATAAAATTTTTACACTTCCTTTTCTAGCAGTGAGGGGTTCTAACAATTTCCCCTTGCTAATCAAGGCACCGTGAAATTAATCAGTCCCAATAATACCTAGAACCAAATTAGAGTAAGCAAAAGACTAACAATTAATTAAGATATTACAATCTTTCCGGAAAAAACAAGCAAACTCCTCAGAAAAAGTTAGCATTTCCATGATCTGGTAGCATATCACTAAAGAAGTGGTCCTTCCCTAGAGCAGCAGGAGAAGCACTTTCATCAAACAGCCACTTCTCAAGAAAAGACAGCGGCAACTTATCGCTGATAAGATCCGGCTTGCTTTCGCCTTGGAATAAGCTGGCCTCCGGTGACATAGACGGAGACAAATAGGAATTTGAGGACTCAAAACCGAACAGAGACTCAAATGTATCAGATAGTTCAACATTGCCACTATTGGCAGTATTTGCCACAGATGTGGTTCCCTCACTAGATGAGTAATGCTGATAATCTGTTTTATTATTAGCCAAGTTGGTGAAGCTAGCTGATTTCTTTGGTGGGTTTTTCATCCAACCCTTCAACAATCTTGAAATGTTCTCAGTGCTTGAAGCATAAGTGGAACTGCTTGATTGATCTAGGGATGGTTTCTTCGGGCTCGAAATCGAAAACCCATCTGTGGGATTCAAATCTGAACTCAAAGTCAGTGGCTTTTCTGGGGAAAGGGCATCTCTGAGAGCTTGCCTGGCCATGTGGATGTCTGTTTGAAGCCTCCTCTCCCATTGTCCTCTGGATATTGGCTGTGAGGAAGAATTGCTGTTTAGTCCTTGATCTTTTGAGTGAAGGCCTTCAGTGCCTCCTCCTGCAGCTTGGAGCTTGCTCAGCTTCTTCCTCAAGTGTGTGTTCCAATAGTTTTTAATGTCATTGTCAGTTCTCTGTGGGAGGTATGAAGCTATTGCAGCCCATCTGTAATCACACATTCAATGGTGCCATTGATTAGATTTGCAGAAACCAAACCTACCCAAATTTATTAAAGACTGAATTCTTTTTCAGATTGAAAAAAAAAAAAAAAAAAGGTTCTTTTACGATTTAGATGTAATGTAACACACATAGAAAATCTACAAATTTATATGGTGGATTTTATATTTAATATAATTACCTATTGCCCAATAGAGCTTGAAGGTGGATGATCATCTTCTCCTCTTGGTCAGTAAAGTTACCGCGTTTGATCCCTGGCCTGAGGTAATTAGTCCATCTAAGCCTGCAACTTTTACTGCATCTATGCAGCCCTGGATTTACCACAATAGAACAAAATACATATTAGTTGGATTCCCAAAGAAAAAAAATGTAACAAATTAAAGGTAAAATATCACAAATTAACATCCACTCTAATTAATCTCAAAATTAAACAAAACCCATGTTGCCATTCCAAGCAAAATCCAATATTTCACTCCAAAAACTGAAGAAAAAACAGAAGATAGAAAAGAAAGAAATTTTACCAGTATTGGTAGGAACGGCTCTCCAATTTCCAGGTCCACGTTCTTGAATGTAAGAGACTAAAATGATGTCTTCTTCAGGAGTCCAAGGTCCTTTCTTGACCCCTTCTTTGTCACAGCAAGGAGGCCTCCCCATAATATTTCACCTTCCTTTTCTCTGTTCTTTAATCAAATCACCACCACAGAATGTCTCCCAAGTTTCTTGCTATCCTCTCACTCACTTGAAACTATATGTTACCTTATTTCTTTCTTTCTTTCTTTCTTTCTTCGATACTAAAAAATGGAGGGTTTGGTCTCCATAAATAGACAAATGAAGCCTAGAGAGAGAGAGAGAGAGAGAGAGAGAGGGGTGGGAGGGTCTTAAGAGATAGGGGAAGACGCTGACCTAAAAGATATCAACAACAGAGCGGCAAGGGTAGCAAAAGAGTCAAATGGTGACAGCAAGAGCATTTACTCCAATGGCAGCAAGGCATTGCCAAAGTCAGCTATAGTGGCATCTCTCTCTCTCTCCCCCCTCGTCCTCCTCCTCTTCTTCTTCTTCTTTTTCTCCTGCCTCGCAAAACCGCGTGGCATTCAATGTGGCTCAACTGGGGAAAACCCCGCCTTTTAATGTGGTCTTAAACCCACCAGTTCATCTCTCATGAATTATGTGTTTCGCTTTCAGCAGACTCGGCACTAGTCCTAGTGAAAAGTAAAAAGTCAAAAACCCTACAAGCCCCCTTAGTAATTACTTGGAACCAAAGTCTTTAATGCTAGCTCTCTTATAAAAAATTTGTCTCCATACTCTCCTTTGGATTGGAAGTGCTTCACGAGGAAAGCACTAAATGTTTGTTCTATAATTCTGAAGTAATTTTAACTTTTGTTATCATGAAGTGCTTTTAGGTCTTCTTGTAGTTCCAAACATGTCCTTAAGTATACCATCCTCTTTCTTGTGCCATACATGTTTACGTTACCTTACTAATATGATAAAGATGTGACCATAACATGAATGATTTGGTAATATAACATATTATAATACGAATAGTTTAGTAACATTATGTGGCATACTACAATTATATATACTAAAACAACTCTCAAGGTGAAAGACGTTGGACTTATCTTGAATCATAACTAGTGTTTGTATATCGGGGTGTTGGATTTGTCTCATGTATAGACTTCGATTTTACTTGACATCATACTGAATTAAGAAAAATAAAATATGACCAATTTGATCACTGTTGAGTAGTCAAAATCCAAGAGGGTGACACATGGTGATTGATGAGTTTTGTTTTGTCGTGCATCATGCATGTCGGCTAATCGGTCTGGATAGCGAGATAGTGATCAAAGTCAATCATGTTAGCTACTCATGGAAATCACTTGTTATATGTATATTACAGGCTCGGTTAAAGGTGATTTTAAAATAATTGAAAGTGGTTTTGATGAAAATGTTTTTGAAATCATCAATAAAAATTAAAGTGGATCCTGAAAAAATATTTTAAACGCTTCGTGCAATCATCAAATATGATAATCACATTTATGTGACTAAATTATACCATGTTTGAAATGTATGTTTTCGTTTCATATATATAGTCCATCATTTATGTCACATCACAGATCGGCTCCGCCGTAACACAATATTGTCTGCTTTGGGCTCCGACTACGCCCTCACGGTTTTGTTTCTGGTAACTCACACGAGAACTTCCCAATGGATCACTTATCCTGGGAATGCTCTCGCCCGAACTCGCTTAACTTCGGAGTTCCGATAGAATCCGAAGCCAGTGAGCTTCCAAAATTTGCACGAAGCGTTTAAAATGTTTTTTCAAGATCCACTATTGCTTGCATATTTTAAACATTTTAAGGCTGTATATTTGATTTTTCTTCTCCAAAATTGCTTGTATCAAAGAAAAAATAAAATCAGTTCTCTTTCACCTTTTGGGTTCCGTATATATTTTCTAGACATTACATTAAATAATTCTTTAAAGAATTAACAGACACAATTAAACAGCAGAGTGTAAAAATCATTTTCCAAGCAAAAACCCTACAAATTTAATAATATAAATGAATTAGATGATTCTTACCTCATTTAGTAATTACCATTGCTATCTTGTGTAATTTCGATTCATGTGTTATTCTTACCCTTGGAAAGTGAATTGATTTAAGAGATGGTGGGAGTCTGGGACCTTGGGAGGCAGCCGCTTGTGGTGGACTCTTTAATTAGGCCTAATTATAATTATCTAAGCTTGGACCCATCATTTACATATCATCCTAAATTTACATATTCAAAAAATAAATGAGATCCTAAATTTACATCTTTCTTATTAGTGGAAACTTAAAAAGCCTGGCTTTGCACTAATTCAACCGGAAAATTAGTGGTCCTGCTGGTCCCTATTACCTTTAATTTAATACTAATTTTGAAAGAACGAAGGTATAATTAAGCTTGGTCGGGAGTCAAATTATCTCCATTAATATGAATAGATTTGAACATAATAATAAACTTTTATCTAAAACAAGGGCTGATTTGGACACCAAAAGCCAACCCTAGCTGTCTAGCAAATGAAGAAGGCATGCGTATGTTTAATTGTTCGTGAAAAAACATATAATATAAGATTTGGCACTTTTTCCCTAACAGAGTGACTACAATGGGTTTAAGCCGTACATCTTGCGGTGATGTCTTCACCAATTCAGCCGCGTACTCGGCTGGTGGCGATCTGTTTAGGATTTTTAGGTTTTTTTGTGTGGTCAATTTTGGACCTCTACAATTGGGCCTTAGTTTTTGGGCTCTTATGTAATTTTTTGCTTTAGGTATAGATAGGAACCTTTACTCATACATTATGTGCATATATGGCGTCTTGCCTGTACCGATCCTTTTTTTTTTTAGTTGTTTTATTTCTCACTTTTAGCTGCGAAATCTTTGTAATTTGTCATTTTGGACTTTGTTATAAAAATTCCCTTTGACCAAAAAAAATTTTAAAATGTCAATTTTAAATTGTGTCACCGATTCTGTCACACTGCAACTTCCATGTGGCCTTTAATATATGCAGAAGCAAAATTCCTTCTTCTTTCTCCTCCTGATTTGGCTCTATGCTAGCTATTTCTGATAATATATATATTCAGGTGATGAAATTGGAGAGCATGAATGTTTGTAATTTGTTTATGATACAATCAGTCAGGATCTTGAAGATCATTGTAGTTAAGAATTTATGTCCAATTTTTAATGGTTAGGTTACTTGCAATTTGAATTTACGTTTAAAAAATGTACATATGAAGTTTAAAGTGAACCAACCGAATGGCAGTTTTCCTTGGAACCAAAGGTCTGTTGAGATTTGCTATAGATCGAAGAACCGGGTTTACTTTTTTGTTCTTTAGTTTAGATTGATTATCCTCAATTTGACTTTATTTTAAAGACGAAAATAATCTTATTTAGTTTTTAATAAAATACAAGCGTGATAGCCTCCCACTAGACACTAAGTTCCAATCATCAAATATGATAATCACATTTATGTGACTAAATTATACCATGTTTGAAATGTATGTTTTCGTTTCATATATATAGTCCATCATTTATGTCACATCCCAGATCGGCTCCGCCGTAGCACAATATTGTCTGCTTTGGGCCCCGACCATGCCCTCACGGTTTTGTTTCTGGGAACTCACACAAAAACTTTCCAGTGGGTCATCTATCTTGGGAATGCACTCGCCCGAACTCGCTTAACTTCGGAGTTCCAATAGAACCCGAAGCCAGTGAGCTCCCAAAAGGCCTCGTGTTATATGGAGGTGAGCATGTACATATAAGGCACATCACCCCTCTCTGTTGGTCGATGTGTGATGTTACAATCCACCCTCCTTAGGGGCCCGACGTCCTCATCAGCACACTCGCACCACACGACAGAGTGGCTCTGATACCATTCTGTCACATCCCAGACCGTCTATGCCGTAGCACAATATTGTTCATTTTAGGACCCAACCATGTCCTCACGGTTTTGTTTCTGGGAACTCACAAGAGAATTTCCCAGTGGGTTACCCATCCTGAGAATGCTCTCGCCCGAACTCGCTTAACTTCGGAGTTCCAATGGAATCCGAAGTCAGTGAACTCCCAAAAAGCCTCGTGCTATATGGAGGTGGGCATGTACATATAAGGCATATCACCCCCTCTCTGTTGATTGATGTAGGATGTTACAATTTAAAAACTGGAACTCCTATAAATAAAAAATAATATAAACCTAGGTCAAGCACGAAAAAAATTATACAAGCCAAACTTAAAGAGAGTAATATTTGATTTGACGTGCCTCATTTACTACACTAGCTAGTGTGTTTCCCTTCTTCATTTGAATTTCATTTTCTCGTAATTTAGATCAAATATATTAGAGTATCGCTGGAATAAAACAAGAACAAATCGATTTTTTAGGCCCATATATATATATAGTGCATGCCCATCTCCCTTATTTTCGCTTGTTTTTTACCTGTATATTTATCTTTCTTCCGGCGGGCTACATATCCATACCAAAACAAATACATGGCCCTTATATGAAGGTGGTTTCTAGTAGTATACGTTGACTGAAACAAATACATGTCCATACTTTCTACTTTCTTTGATATAATGCCCATACTCTCCATGCTGATTCAAGTGTCCAAGTAGTGAGTACTGAGAAAAACCATGTGCATTATAGTTCCCCATAATTTACAAGCCACTTTAGTGGTGTATAACAAATGCAAAATTAATACATGTGAATTATTCTCACACGTACGCTGGTATTTAAAGATAAAGATGAGTATATATGATCTTTAATATCTTTATATATATGTGTGTGTGTGTGTGTGTGTGTGTGTGTGGATATATGTGAGAACTAAATCCAACCTTCAAGATGTGCATTGAACTTGTTATATTGTGGCCTCATCAACGTATTTCGTCGGTTTCATTGGACATGCATATTCATATGATCAGATCGAGTAGATAATTCCGTCGACTGAACGCTTTCCAATTCCAAAATATGGGAGTACTCCTGGTGGAGTAGTAATTTGCAAATTGATTAAAGTTTATGTACATGATCAACAATATTAATCGGAAAAGAGAACACGGTATCACCATTCAGAAGAGTAGCAATTCTCGAAGATGAAGACCTACCACATGCATAAGCATGGAAAAAAAAGAACATTATGATCACCTTCAGTAAGCCATTTGACTCAAACTCGGTCTTGCCAAAAAGCTTATTGCATACGTAGAGCATTAAGAACAGTCGTGTTAGCTACCAAAAATGTGAGAATTCCAATTTCAAAGACAACGATTAAGCACCTTAAACTTGTGCAACATAACAAACGTGCCCTTAGTTAGCAAAGGAATGAACCAAGAAGAAAAAAAAAACATCCATCATCGTGATCCCAATTGTAGGGTAGTGTTTCCTTAGGCCAAGAAATTAGTTTCAGTTACAATAACAAATAAATAAATAAATAAATCCCAATTGGATCCATCATCGTGATCCCAATCTAAACTGAGGTGAAATGAAAAAGGTTGGGCCTTAATGTTATTCTTAAAAATTTGTTGATTTTGGGCTGATAAAACCCAAGTCAGTAGGCTTCAAATATAACGAAGAAGAGATGTACAAAAGAAATATAACAAAGACCGTGCGGTTGGGTGATTTAGGGTTTAAGGTTTGTTTCTCATCTCTTCTTTTCTTCACGATGCAAAGATTGTAAAAGTTCTCCCTCACACACGATTTTTCACGAGTGAACTACTAGAATTTAATTAAATCGCATTTGCGTCCTTTGATCCGCGGGAGAACAAAACTTGCAACGGTTGATTCATACGGAATATCAAATGAGCATAGTCATCATGGGAAATGATTTTTGCAGATTCTTTTTTTTCACGTGTATTTCTCTCTTCATTTTAGACGTTGAATTGAACAAAAGAGAGTCTGTGAACGAAAGAAAAAAAGAGACTGTAGAAGGAAAAAAAATAAGTGTTTGAAAAATTATTTTTCATATGCATGTATAGTGATGCCATATTTGGTAACAATTACACCGTGTTAAATTTTGTATTTGGTTAGTTTCTAGTAGATTTTTCAAACGAATATTAAACTCTTACCCTCTTGTTAAGTTCAAACTTCTTAATTTGGGATTGGAAAAATGATTCTTTTCCATATATAGTTTGATCACAGATATGACAATCTTTTAATGGCATTCACTCATATTTGCCCATAAGGCTGGTAGAGCCACCTTGCGTAGCCACTGTTCTTCCAGTATTTGAGTTGTTCTTGAAACACAAAGGCAATGTGTTTGATGAAATATGTCGTAGAATTTTTCTTCTTGGAAACTTGCCTCTTTACGTGCCCCTTGGTACAACACATTCCTATCTCCGTCACTGTATATCCACGAATACGCATACAACACTAGATCTAGCGGTGTTGTGCCGTATATATTGTTCTGTGAGAAATCGATCTAGAAGAAGGATTATTTTGACTAAGGGGTGGCTTAATTGTTTTTTCTCACCGAGCGTAGTTAGGGTCGTTGTCCTCTTCTCTTCTAGAAAACGTCCCTCAACATCTTCTTATGTGTCTCCATCATCTCATGCTGCTGATGACTGACGAAGATGAGGAATTAAAAAGAATTTTCTGCAATCGGCAGGTAAGAAAATATGACCCTTAGGAAAACTATAATATTGGGTATATATATCGAAGTGGATCCGTGATACCATTTTTTAACACATGTTTTTGTGGAGCATACTCCGTAATGTATTTTAATGATCCAATTCCAAACCGTCTATCTTTTAGAACATCATTCATAGATCATCATTGTAAAAAATTAAACAAATCCAAAACCATTAAGTTGTATTGGAGAATATGAACATATATGATTCTACAAAGAAACTTTTAATCCTTAATCCAATGGTCATATGGTTGTAAAGATAAGTGATTTTTGGCCGGCATGATCTTCCAGAAAAGATCTAAAAGATACATAATTCTAATTGTTAAAATACATTACAAAATAAGTTTCATAAAATCGTGTCAAGCAAAATATATAAACAAATGCTGCCACGGATCCGTCTCATACTTGTATAAGTTAAATTCGTTATTTGACTTGTGTATGCATGTCCCTATATAATAACATTCATACTATGTGAAGACTCAATATTGTAGTGCGTGTGACACGAATTCCACTGGGCATGCATAGGTTATGCATATATAGCCCCACACGTTATTAGGCAAATATTGTCTTCATTTGTACCTATCGAGGTCGGCATAAAAAGATAAGCAAACATTCTAATTTCAACTTCGACCACCAGTGGAAGCATATCTGAATTTGTCTCTTACTTGATTTACACATATTATATTTATAAAATAAAGATAATCGGTTCTCCGTACACATAATGATGGAAAATAGAGAAATTAATCACACGATTTAGAATGTAGCAATGTACATTTATAAGCTGTGGCTTGCTGACACGAAGTTAGAGATAATCAAGGGCATAATTATCGAAGGTAAGTTATTTTTCAAGATAAATATGAAGCATTGATATTGTAATAATAAAATTTTGTAAAGTACTATAGATTTTGAAATGATTAAATTGATATCCATATAATCGCAAGAATTATGTGAAGAATACTCTGTTATCGATTTTTGAGTAATTATAATTTATTAAGAATTTTATTTACTCTTATTTGAATTTGTTTAAGTTTCATAATTTATGGAATATTGAATTCATAAATGCAAGAGTTACAATGATGCTAAGAACTTTGATTAAAATATTTAAACAAACACGATTTTAGCCTAACAATATGAGCTGACCAGGAATCGAAACCAAAATGATTCTTAATTCACCTTTACAATTAAGAACAAAAGAGAAAATGCACAGAAATAAAACGGGGTTTGAAAAGACCAAAATGCCCTTTAATTCATTTGAGATTAAGGATAAGAAAAAAAAAATCCATAAGAAGTTAAAAACTTAAGCTTTCAATCTCAAGCAGTTCCTCCTCTTTTTTCTGATTTCTCTCTCCCAAAGTTCTTAGCAAAAAAACAGAGACCCCTCAACCGATCGATGTTATGTATAAATCTTCTTGCAAAAAAAACAGTCCATCAGTAAACCAATAACATAACGGTCACCTCAGAACTCCGAGGCTCTCTCTAAGCAACCCCCCATAAGATTAGTTCAACTTCAACCCCAAGTCGCTGACATGTTCTTTTCTCACCTCCCCTAAACTTTTGCTTCCAAATCCCCCTTAAATCTCAGCAGTTAGGTCAGATTTCCACCTTCGGGAATCCCGTTTCATTAAACCCCTTCGAGCACTTGCATGAATCTTCCTGCTCTCTTCAGGTGGGAAGTCCATTCCTCCCTGAAAAATTCAACGTGGTAATCAGAGCCTGCGTGAAACTCCTCTGTATTTTTGCTTCAAACTGAGATAAAGCGATTGATTTATGGGTTTCTTCACTGATGGGTGCCTTAATCATTTCTTTGCTAAATACCCACTTTGATTGGGAGAATATGGGTGCTTCTGGTGGGGAGTTTTACTCAAAGATGGCTCTTTTTCCTAGACTTTTCACCCTCTCCGTCTCTTCCCTTTTGCTTGCTTTGTTAAGATTTTTCAGCAAGTTCTTCCTCAAAGTCAGGTATTCAAATTCCCACTTGGGTTTTGTAATTCTGATGTTTTAAGATGAATTCTCAGCTGGGTTTTGTAATTCAGATACTTTTTTTATTGATTCAGTAACTTATTTTTGTGTTTCTTTTTGTTGCAGTTTTGGTAATGGCGAGCGTTCTGGGATGAACAATTCTTGTCGTTCTCCTAACCCTCTTTCTGAAGAAACCAACCAAATGGTATTGAATAATAATCTTGTTGAGACAGAAGCTCTACCCGGAAAAGTGGATTGTTGTTCTGCTAGCCTTGTTTCTGAAGAAACCAATCAAATGGTATCGAATAATCCGGTTGAGCCAGAAGCTCTGCCGGAGAGAGCTGATTCCGAGATTTCGAAGAGCGACGGAGATTCGGAGCTGGGTGATGCTGATGGTGCGGAGGCCTCGAAGCCAAGTTTCGTGTTTAAATTCGAGTACCAGACTAGAGAAATATTAAGCAGAAGCAATAAAGAGTATGAGTTTCTGGCTGACAAGTTGAACCTATTCAAAGAAGAAGGACCAGAATTCACAAGCAGCAGCAGCAGCAGAAAATACGAATTCAAAGCCGAAGAGAATGTTAGTTGCTTCGTGGAAGAAGCTAAAGTTGCAACCTTTACTGTCGAAGAAGGAGGTGATCATGAAGAAATTGCTCATGAATTTTCAGGCGGGGAATGCGAGGAAGATGAAGAGTCTGATAAGAAATCGGCGATGGAAGATGCTCGTTCGGACGAAGAGCTAATGGGGAGCCTCGAAAGCGATTCTGATTGTGAGGAAGTTGATTCTCATGAAGTTAATTTCTTGTCAGAGAAGGACTTTGGCTCCCCAAGTTTGGGGTTTTTGTCAGCAGAAGATTTTGGGGAAAGGGATGAACTTCCAAATTTCGATATGGGGTACGAGTCTGATTGTTTCGAGGAAGAAGATGACGATATAAACGAACAAATTCGAGAACTCCAAGAGTTGCCCAGCAGCTCGAATCCGGTAGGGTTGAGTAGAAAGGACGAAAAGCCAATTGAGGGTTCCGAAAATGCTGAAAAACCCGATGTTCGTAATTCGGTAACCAATGATTCTGAGGATTCAAACACATTGGAAACATTGTGGGAACACCAGGAATTGATGGAACAGTTGAAAATGGAGCTCAAGAAAGTCAGAGCTACCGGTTTGCCTACCATTCTCGAAGAATCCGAGTCTCCGAATATGGATGATTTGAAACCATGGAAGATTGATGAAAAAGCCCATCAAGGTGATAGAATGGGAGAGCTTCAGACGTTCCACAGAATTTACAGAGAGCGTATGCGAAAATTCGACATTTTAAATTACCAGAAGTTATATGCAATAGGTCAGTTTTTTCATCAAGTTCGATTAATTTCTTCTCAGTTTCAAATCATTTTGTTCGTTTTTTCTTCCCAAATTCTTTTCTTCTTAATCTCTATCTGTTCTAATCCATTCGATTCATCGGTATGATTAATTTAACCTAATTAGGACCCACTTACATCCCAACCATCAAGAGTGATTATTACATGACCTAATTAAATTAGAACACACACCTTTCCTGGTTCTCCACTGTGTAAGCACTTTTCAAAAAAAGCACTTTTGCATATGTAGGTATTTAAATATTGTCCAAAAGCTCATTACATACTCAGTGGCTGTGCAGATAGTACCTAGAGCCATCCCATTACCCTTAGTTTATGTTTATTAGCACCTTCTGAGCATGCTGATCTTTAAGCTCCACCAGTCTAATTATGGAAGTGCTTTTGTGCTCCACCATTTTGTTTGTTGGTTTCTCCTTTGCAGACAAGCTGCAGAAATTCATGTATATGAAAAGTTAATCTGTAATATTAAATTAAATTGACTTTAATTCACATGATCTCGTTTTCTTATGTGTTTTATGAAAATCCAAATGTGTAGGTTTCTTGCAGTCCAAGGATCCACTTCAGTCGTTTCCGAGCTCCTCCAAATCCTCAGCTCCGGCAATCCCATCCTTTCTCTCACAGAACTTTTGGAGATGCAAACCGAAAAACGATTCAGATTCCGACCCAATGGTGAAGTTTATTAGAGAATTGCATAGTGATTTAGAAGTGGTTTATGTGGGGCAGCTGTGCCTTTCTTGGGAGATCCTTCAATGGCAGTATGAGAAGGCCCTCAACCTATGGGATTCCGCTCCGTATGGAATGGGTTCGTACAATGTGGTTGCCGGCGAGTTCCAACAGTTTCAAGTTCACTTGGTTAGATTTGTAGAGAACGAATGTTTTCAAGGGCCTAGGGTTGAAAATTACGTCAAGAATCGATGCGTCATGCGCCATCTTCTTCAAGTTCCGGCGATTAGAGGTGAGAGAGAGTTTTAGGTTAAATGTTGTGGTTGCTTAGGGATGTTGAAGGTTTGATTTATAGAGACTAATACAAATGTATGGCATTGCAGGGGACAATTTAAAGGAGAGGAAGAAAGCAAGAAGAAAGGGCAAAGACGGTGGTGCAATTACAAGTGACATTCTAGTAGAGATACTCGAAGAATCAATACGGACAATTTGGCGATTCATTCGAGCTGATAAATATGCTAATTGTACGCTTGCACATCGAAGGAGAAGACAAGAAGAAGAGCTTGAAGAATCGGATCTAAAGCTTTTCACGGAGATCCAAACAGATCTTCACAAGGTAGGTTTCTTATCAGATAGTCTAACATACGAGTTTTCATGTTTCGGTTTGATCTAACGATCGAATTAACTTTTTTTTTCTTCCATGGAATGCAGAAAAACATGAAGCTAAAAGAGAGACTGAGGAGTGGGAACTGCATCCTAAAGAGATTCAAAAAGCATGAGGATGAAGGCACAGATCACCTCTACTTCTTCTCCCAAGTTGACATGAAATTGGTAGCTAGGGTTTTGAACATGTCGAATATAACAACAGAGCAACTAGTGTGGTGTCACAGCAAGTTGAGCAAGATAAATTTTGTGAACCGAAAGCTTCGTGTAGATCCTTCCATCTTGCTATTTCCATGCTAGCAACAGTAGCAGTCACATTTTTGTCTAACCAAAGTAAATATTAGGCTTCAAACTGCACATTATTGTTCATATTTTCTTGGCCAAGCGATATTCTAATTCACATTAATTTATGAGAAAAAGATGATGAACTTAATAACAAAGGTGGGAACAAATTGACCTGACTAACTGATTCATCTCATATCTTATTATTGTTCATATTTGATTGTTTGAAAAATATATGCCTAATTAGATTATTAGTCCTCGTGGTAATATGAAAGCTGGCCCTTGTGGTAAAGTCCTTTAGGATTTAGGTCCAAAACTAAAAATTTCATCAACTTTTGACCAAAAAAAAAAAAATTCATTCAACTCTTTGTTAATTGTTATCACGTGAACCATACATGCGATGCTAACTTTTATTTTTAATCTCACATGCTAACAATTAATTGAGAGTTCAAGTTTATTTCAAATACCCAAATTGACGGAACTTTCAAATTTGGATATAATTTCTAACAGACTTCATCACAACAATCCTTTTTTTTTTTTTTTTTTTTTTGTAAGCTAGTTTTTTTTTTTTTTGTAAGCTAGATGCTATTTTCTGATTACGACGGTGGTAGTGTGAAGTCTGTGGGCAGCAGACTAAACATATATCTTGAGGCAAAAGATGAGGTCCCCACGCGTTTGCGTTCTTAAGGTGCAAGAATTATCATCTACTGGGTCAAATTTTCAATTTTCAACGATGCTATAATTAACTTAACCTATAAACTTTTATGGGGAAATTTGTAATGGTGGTTGTAAGGTGGATAGGTAGTTGAAATTTTGGTGAGTAATTAAGCAAGGTTTTAAGAATTTTAGATGGCGTTTTACTGCATTGATAGAAAGTAATAATGTTTGTGCACTCTAGTGCTGGTTCGATTCTTACTGATTTCTTTTTTTTAATATTTAACAATTTAACCCGTTAACACTATTGTTTAGGTAGCAGGAACTTTGTTTTATTTATTTTTATCATAGTGAGATTTTTTTTTTCAACTATACAAGGAGAAAATTTTTGATGTGCCGTAACACGGATCAGTACACCAAGTGTAATAATATAATTAGTTATTTTTTTTTTTAAATATTCAATAAATTGTGTTATTACACTTCATATTGAATCGTGTTTTCAACACAATGAAATTAAAGCATAGAGGGGGAGTTAAACTTGGTCTCTCTTCCAACATTATGGATAACAAATTCTACTAGACCGATACATAATTGATCAGCCACACAGAAACTCGAATTTAAGTCCAAAACTTATAATCGTACCTTTAAATGAGAGAGAAGGTAGATAAGGTAAAGAGATGAAGCACCCAATGGTGAGAGAAATTTTCAGTTGTAATGGGAATATGAATGGTAGATCACGTGTTTTTATGCAAATGGTGAAAAATTTTAATTTTTAAATTATTAAATTTTTAACACACATAACCCACAATTTATATAAAAACATATAATGTATCACCTCGTATAACGATCACACTGAAAAATCTTTCCAATGTGGAACCAAATTTTGAAAAGCATGATCGGTTTGGTTTGGTCCAAACTAAACAGACTCACTTGGTTTCGTATTCTACCGAAATTATAAATTAGTAATAAAACCGGACCGAGCGACAGAGGCCGGTCCAGTCCAGCCGGTTTGTTGAAATTTTTGTTGATTTTGCTAATTGCTAGGTTGAGGCCCGTCCCTTCCTAATTTGGACCCGGCCCATATTTAACTTAATCCTCACCGTCGAATACTAATAATCTCGCCTCAGCCGTTAGATCTAGGGTTTCTCACCCTTCGAAAACCATATTTAAAAACTCTCTCATCTTCAAAGTGCGGCCCTCTTGTTGCACTCCATCGCAGTTACAGAGAGAGAGGGGCAGCCGAGCTAAACCAGCACTCCAAAAATGGTGCAGCGGCTCACGTACCGGAAGCGACACAGCTACGCCACCAAGTCCAACCAGCACCGCATCGTCAAAACCCCCGGTAAGATATTTTTTTACCGATTGCATTCCCAATTCGCTTCTGAAACATGATCGAGTTTTCAATTAGGGTTTTGCTGGTTTTGTTTATGATGTCGTTTGATTGCTTTTGGCTGAGTTGATTTTGTGCGTTTTGAATGCTAGGTGGGAAATTGATCTATCAGACCACCAAGAAGAGAGCCAGCGGCCCCAAATGCCCTGTTACTGGCAAGAGAATCCAAGGGGTATGCATATTCTTTCTTTTGATTGTTTATTATCTGTATATGCGATTGTATATGTGTGTGTGTGTGTGTATTTGTTTGACTGAGCAATTAGGTTAGTATTATGATGTGAATGCAAGAATGTGTGTGATTGTAATTGGTTGATGAATGATTGGTTGGGGTTTATGAATTTGCGGCAGACTAGGCAGTAGTTTCCGAAATTCGAATATGAACTCTAAGGTCTAAATGCACGGTTTCATAGTAGGACTTATACCGGGTTCATAAACAAAACTTCACATCTTTTGAATCCAAGCATACTATTAGATTTGTGACGGGGGATTTGATCAGTCCCCAACTTGGAGCAGGTAACCGATGCTTGTATATTCCAAGTGTTATAACGTCGCATATAGACTTGTCAATGTTGATGGTCCTCCCAGCTCTTGTTGGGAGCTCCTCCGTTGACGGTGGTGTCATATCCTATCTTCCCGTGGAGCAGTGTCACTGCCATTACCACTTCGGAAGATAGCCATGCACTGACATTTTCAATTTCCAATATTTTGATTTTTGCTTTCTTTAAAGTTCCAACGCGTAACGAGAATCATTGGAGTTTTGACAAATTGATTGTATATTTGTTTGTTTGTTAGTTTGTATCAACCTACTTTATATGATATTTGGGAATTCTTATGTGCGTCCATGTGCAATTGAATTCCTTTATATTTGTCATTGTAATTATCTCTGATAATAATTTTGGTTTCCTTGCAGATTCCTCACTTGAGACCGGCTGAGTACAAGAGGTCTAGACTATCTAGGAACCGCAGGACTGTGAACCGTGCCTATGGTGGTGTATTGTCTGGAGGTGCTGTTAAGGAGAGGTAATTTAGTGCCAAACATTCTGATTTCAGAATGCGCTGGTTTTGTAGTATTTCTTTGGTAGTAGATTAGTAATTAAGGCATTGCGTTGAGTTTTTGTTGTTTGATATTATGCAGGATCATTCGAGCTTTCTTGGTGGAAGAGCAGAAAATTGTGAAGAAGGTTTTGAAGATCCAAAAGGCCAAGGAAAGGCAGGCGGAGAAAGGAGCTAGGAGCTAAACGAGGCGAGAATCGATAGTCTTTTGATCGAAGTACAAGAAATGGTTGAGCGAGATTTTGTCGTTAGGTTTTGTTGATCGATGAATTTGGATCGTAGATTGGAATGCTTTTATTGTTATGTGCTACTCGGTTACTCGGTTAATTTCGTTTCAATGACAAACCAGTTGCCTGTTTCGTATGTGATAATCTTGTTCGCTGATCGTCATCGTCTCTTGAAAGCTCCAGCTTTTCGATTTTGTTGTTTATTTTGCGCATGATAATTTTGTAAGTGTAATTAAAAGGATGGAAGCAATCACATGGAAAGATTCATAGAACCGAAGGGAAGGAAATGAGTGGCAAACAAGCAACTCTTCCCAATGTACAAATTGTGGTTCTTCGGTTGAAGTTTTAAAAGAAAAATGGTTTTGTAGAGATTGAATGGTGGCTAACTGATATAACTCACATATTTAACGGCTAATAGCTCATTCACGCTCATCTTCTTTCTACCAAGTTCAAATTTTAAACTCTTTATTTGTAAAAAGCTATTCATATTTTAATGAAGTCAATATATCATTTCACCGCGCAAAAAGTTATCCAAAATCGTTCATTTTATTTACATTTACATATTATTTCTAGAAAAATTTATCTAATTAAGAAATTATTCAACTATCTATACATGCCGAGTTAATTAGCGATTATGATAAATAAAATAAACAGTTTCAAATATGAATCAATTCATTTGATCCGACAGCAAAAAATTAAGAGGAATGTGCGAGAAGTTAAAATGGGTGTGTAAATAGCGGTGTCCTATATTTGGTAGTCTCTCCTTGGCCCTTACTGACTAGGATTCTCTCATCTCCTCATTTCATCCCTTTCATCCCCTCCTCTCACATTCTCTATTTTGTCTTTCTCAATCTATAAAAAATTAATATAAGATGTTGACGTGGATTAACCAACCGTTCAAATAGGAGGAGAAGAAAGGGGAGGAAAAAAAAAAAAAAAAAAGGGGAGAGAATGCTACTCACCTTTGGGATCGGAGGGTAGAATGGTAATCGTACCATGCAGTGGTGAACAGTGAGAAGAACTGAGAAGTGAGAAGAGAGGCCACAACCCAACCAACTCTACTCACCTTTGGAATAGGAGGAAAAAAAAAAAAAAAAAAAAAAAAAAAAAAGGGAGAGAATGCTACTCACCTTTGGGATTGGAGGGTAGAATGGTAATCGTACCATGCAGTGGTGAACAGTGAGAAGAACTGAGAAGTGAGAAGAGAGGCCACAACCCAACCAACTCTTATCTCCCTCAGCCTCTCTCAAAACTACCATTTTTCAGAGACACGCAGAAAGCTTTCGTCTTTGTCATCTCTTTCCCCATTCATAAATCTATCTGCAGAATCCAAGTCATAACATTATCAACCAGTAAACCAATAAAATGCAAGCGTTAGCATGCAGTTCTTCTCCTCTGCAGTCCTACTCGTTGGGCTTGCGCACCTCCAAGAACCGCCTAATCAGCCGCCGGCAGCTCTGCTGCGACGGCATTTCCTCTGCCTGTTCTCACACTCAACCCAACCGCACTCACTCCCCGGACGACGCCGTTTCTCCCTTGTCCATTTCCACCCAAAGGTCCCCTTTCTTTCTGAGTAGCATTTTACTGACCTGAGCTTTTCTGTTCACTGCATTGTGGTAATTCTTGTGATTTGTGTTGATGGGTGTTCATAGAATTGAAAAAGTTTCGATTTTTACTCTGTATCATGTAATTTCAATTTCTGGGTTTTTGCTATTTGGGTGGAATTCTGATTTTTTTTGTTTGTTTGTTCTTTTGACCATTTAGGAGTGTTCAAAAACTGAGCAAGGATTTTGATCCGTTGGTAGACGAGGGTACGAATTTCACAACGAGGCGGGCGTTGTTTGCGAGTATTTTCATGTATTCGCTTTGTGATCCTTCAAGGTACTTGTCAGGTTCGCAAGTTTTCAGCTTTAGCCTTCGTTTTTTAATTTGGATGATATTGTTATGCCTGTCAAAAGTGCCCCGTGAGGTGTTTAGTTTGCAAAAAGTTTAAGAAGGTAGCTAATAATAGGAATTGTGGACTACGTATTATGCTTGTCAAGTTTCGCATTGGCAATGTAGGCGAAAGCTGTGTCCCGGAGGACTGTTATGAAACTCTGTCTAGTCCATAGATATGAGTAGTTCAAAAATAAATGTTAAACAACGTGGTACTCCTTTTGTTTCGTCTATAATGGCTCTATTTGATAGCTTATTTCAAAGAATTTGGTATGGTATTTTTTACAGCTTGTGTATTTGTTTCATGCCAACTACTCCATTCTGATGATGCAATTTACTTTGGATTTACAGCTCTAGCTTTAGGGGATTCCTCAGTAACAATTGAAGAAGTAACTCCTCCGGTTTTCACTTCCGGGCCTCTCTTCCCCACTGAGGTCCATATTTTTCTTTATTTTGTATACCTTTATAAGAGGAATCATTCTTTTATAAGTTTCATGCTCCATTCTTCTGAATTCTGATATTTTTGGCTGAATTGTTGATGTGTCTGATTGACAGGAAAGAATTGTCGAACTCTTTGAGAAGAACACATACTGTGTTGTTAACATTTTTGATGTGACATTGCGTCCTCAACTTAATATAACTGGTGTGGTTGAGGTGCGTGGCTATTATGCTTCATCTTTGATAACTCTTTAGCTTCTAAAAGTAGAATTTCCACTATGTTCACTCTTCCTTTGAATTTTTTTTTGGCTAATCGCATGTGGCATGCTCCCGAATATTCAGCAGGTCCCAGAAGGAAATGGTTCAGGAGTAGTTTGGGATGGGCAAGGTCACATTGTAACAAATTATCATGGTAGGATCTTGAAGAATTACCTGATAATAATCATAATATAAAAGAATATTGTTGTAGGTCTCAAAACGGTAAATGAATACATCATCCATGATTTTGCTTCTTACTGATGTTATTTATAGTGTTAACCAGAAGATATTGCTTATTACAATGAAGCCAAAATTTTCATTTCGAAAAATACTTCCAATTCATGGGCTTGAAATAACAAAAATGTCAAAAAGATGGAATGGATTGCTAGTAAAGTATACAAATGGAGGGACTTAAATTAAATTTAACAATTGTTTCTTTTATTTACAGTAATTGGTAATGCCCTCTCTAGAAATCCAGGTCTTGGGGAGGTCGTTGCACGAGTTAACATTCTAGCATTGGAAGGGTGAGATTTCAGCGCATTCCTAGATAAACTTTTAAACGGTAGCCTTAATGCTGAAATTCATATTTCTCATTTGGTTGAATTTTTTGTAAAAGGTTGCAAAAGAATTTTGAGGGTAAGCTAATTGGTGCTGACCGTGCAAAAGATCTTGCTGTCTTGAAGGTATTTTCTGTTTTTGCAAAGGATCATTTCATGGTCACTTTCAAATTGCAATGTCTTAGCACAAGTAGCTAGGTACTGATTTATCTAAATTTTAGGTAGAAGCATCCGAAGATCTGTTGAAGCCAATCTCTGTTGGGCAATCATCTTCTCTAAGAGTTGGGCAGCAGTGTTTAGCAATTGGAAATCCATTTGGTTTTGATCACACCCTCACTGTTGGAGTAATTAGCGGACTGAATCGAGACATTTTCAGTCAAGCTGGAGTCACAATTAGTGGCGGGATCCAAACAGATGCAGCAATCAATCCTGGGAACAGGTTGGTGATTTCATTTTAACATAAAAATCGTAGTTAAGAAGCTCTCAGTTTCCCAAAGTGTTACTGTGAAAATCGATCTTTTAATCAGTTAGAAATAATTTTATCTTTTGAACTTGTTCTGACCTGCTCCTTGTTCTTACTATGGCAGTGGAGGTCCCCTGTTAGATTCCAAAGGAAATTTAATTGGGATCAATACCGCAATATTTACTCAGACAGGTTAGTAATATCATTGTAAAGTCCACCACAGAACTCTAATATATTTTCAAAGTTGAAATTTGAGAAAATAAATACGGAAGTTGCATACTGATTGCCTCAAAATTTAAATGGTTTGGCAGGGACATCAGCCGGTGTTGGGTTTGCCATCCCATCTTCAACTGTACTCAAAATCGTGCCTCAGTTGATTCAATATGGAAAGGTAAGTATAGTCGCCAAGTATTTTTAAAGTTTGAACTGACTGGCACCAACCCCTCGGTTTTATTATATAATGTTCTTGGTGGTTCTTCACTGGTTCATCCATTGTAGGTTGTTCGAGCTGGTTTGAATGTCGAGATTGCTCCAGAGCTAGTTGCAAATCAACTCAATGTTCGATATGGAGCTCTCGTTCTACAGGTATACCTGTAGATTTTAGGTTGCATTGCATATCAGTTAATATCTCTGTCCGTCGTATTCACATCCATCCATGGACAGTTCATTTCCTGATTGTTCGATTCACCTTATAATGCTGCAGGTCCCTAAAAATAGTGTTGCAGCAAAGGCTGGCCTGCTTCCCACCACAAGGGGGTTTGCAGGGAATATAGTGCTTGGGGATATCATCGTTGCAGTTGACGACAAACCCGTGAGCTGTCCCTTACTCAAATCTTACCATCTTTCCTCTCCATGCATAACATGCTTCTGTTCAATTTACAAAATCAGTAAACTGTATCCAATGACTCCTCCTTGGACGTAATGCAAGAGCTTGCATCGACGCTGTTTTCTCTTGTTTTCCATTTCGTAAAGATTGAAAATTAAAAATAGACAACCATAGCTCGACAATCTAAGCCTTTATACTCGCGAGATCTACCGAAACTAATTTATTTATTGATGTTATGTTATGTTATGTTATGTTATAATAGGTTAAAAGCAAAGCAGAGTTCAACAGAGTATTTGATGAGTATAATGTGGGGGATCAAGTAATTTTAAAGATCCAGAGGAGCAGTGAAAAATTGGAGGTTCCTATAACATTAGAGGAAAAGAGTTCATGACTTGGTGTGCTGATAATTTTTACTTGCTAGTCAGCCAAGCATTTTCTTCAGTTGTAAAACGAAAGACGACCCCATGCCAATAAGGCTCCCGCTCTGCTAGGATGGGGGGAACGTCTGTTGTAAGCATTTTCTTCAGCTGTATCTTAGTAATATTAATTTTGCCCCATTATTTGATGTAAAATGAAGAATTACTGTATATAATTAATGTAACCACAGTAATTAGTAAGTTACTCATACAAGGGAAAATGGGCTTTTACTATGGCCCAAATATGCTGTTTTGTGTTGATCCAAGAAACCCACGAACCCTTTTTCGGTCAAGTCCAGTAGTCCATTTATGTGTGAATAGATGTGAAAACACAATTTTCGTTAATCCGACAAAATATAATTTAAATTAGTAACAATAATTTATTTTTTTGCTTAATATAATGCTAATAACTTGATATAATATGTCCCCAAAACCCATCAATATGAGAAGGACTTGCATAGTAGGAGTACATCGTTATTATGGTGTCTCGTGATAATAATACAATGACATGTGTAAGTTTCTTGTTGTTTGGTATTATATCATTGACGTTATACATTAAATTTGCAGTGTACTTGTATCAGGAAAATTGTTCTTCGTCAATATTACTTTTTTTTTATTAGTTCTACACGTCACCATACTAGGTTGTGATCTATCAACTTATTCCTGCACGCAATTTTAATTTAATTGATCTGAGACAAAATTAGTTAATTTAGTTGATGTTAAGATAAATCCCAAACATTATTTTTATCCCATGTATCAAATTTAGTATTAAGACTAGGTTTGTCATTGTGTTGTGTTTTTCCATTTTGCTTCCAATATTCTAACACCATGTCAGACTCTTACATATCCCAATCAAATTGACATCATCATTTTCCAATAATAAGTTCAAGTTTGTGTTTCTTTTATAGGATAAGTTATAACAAGTAAAATTATGCCGATTTTCTCACATCTTTATTGTGTATGACGTCTTTTCTTTAAAAATAAGACATTTTGAAAAAATTTACTTTTACTTAATCTTCTTCCACTTCAGCTTCAGATATTGACATGATTGATAAGGTTAACGTATAAACCATCAGTTAGAGCTTAGACTCTAGGTTATAGCCTCAATTTTTTTTTTAATACATCAATATTTACACTAAGGGAAGGGGGGTTCGGTTAAGCCACACAATGGACAACCTAATTTGATATCGAATTCGCCATCTACGAGATTCAAACCTAAGACATTTCACTTCCAAGTAAAAAGAAATACCACCAGACCGTAGTACTGAATCACAGGTTATAGCCTCGAATTGGTTAATCGGCTTTAATCTCATCAAATTTTGGACTCTAGAGGGCTTGTTAAATCTTAAATAATCAATGAGATCAAGTTGAAGAAAATTAAGTAAAAACGAAATTTCTGTAATCATTATTTTAAAAAAGAGAAAGACGTCATGCAAATACAACTTCAATCTAAAATCCTCGATCCAAGGAATGACTTTAAGAATTTGATAGAGTAATAATTTGATGGTGACTACTGCATGTAAGGAGCCCTTTTACAAGTCTCTCAAATTAATGATAAGGTCTGTACAGGAACTTAGCAACAAAACTGTATTCTTAGGTTATTTTATGTCATAAATATTGAAGGAATGATGCTTTCAAAGAGGTTTATCTTAATTAGGAGTTATTCTAAAACATATTAATTATAATGATTAAACTTATATGTGATTGAGAACGTTGATAATGACGGGATAAATCTTTAAGTTGCTGTTCTCATTTGTTCGTGTACAGTTGATATTATTGACTCCTATCCTAGAAAACCAATTGAAAAGTTAACCCTAGTTTTTATTGGGTAAGGATAGGAACAAGTTGAAAAGTAAGTAGTAGGAGTAAAATGCCGATCAAGCTCAAATATTTAGGAGTCATCAATTTTTTCAGCCCTTAAAAAACACAAAGATTTTCTTGTATTCAAGAAAATTGCTAGACTTGAGCTTTAGTGGTGGAGTCAGGATTTTAGTCTAGAGGGTGCCCAAAAGTCTCAATCCAAAACGTTGTCCTGATCTTACAAAAATTACTCTGTCATGTGTCGAGCAATCGACCACCGTCATTTGGGTCTGCTATCGTGTCATCATCATCGTCCAATGACCCTCAAGCCTCTCGGACTTTCTTCCTTTCTCTTCAAAGATGACAAGCAACATATTGTTTGGACTCCATAGGAGTCGCCAAACTTAAATCAAACCCGATGAACGAAATTAAAGTAAAAATGTCAGATTAAGAAACTGAACCTTGAAAATCAATAACATAACAATAAACTTTTCTGCGTGAAAAAAAATGTCAGGATGGGTCTAGGACCATATATCCTAGTTCCTTTATGACCCCGCCTGTGCTTGAGCTACTCAATCCCATAAGTCAATAAGATATCTATGCTCATTAGTGGGTTCAGTTGTTAAATATTAGGAGTGAAGGGATCAGTGGAGGTAGAATGCGCACTAGGATGCATAATCATTATTACTTTCAGCCACTGCGGTAAAGCACCATCTACATCTATGCTCCTTTTTATTGATGAGTAATTTGTACAAGCACGCATGGCTAAAATTTACATTACAACTTAACTTCTTTGTTCACAATGAGCTGTCGAATCATCTATTATTTTCTGTCTCAACCTTTCTTTTCTTAGACGCAGGATATTAATTATCACGGATATTTTTACAGCAGGGTCATTCACCTGTGAGCTATGCACTGTAATGAGTAAGTTATAAGTATCAAACTTATAAATACGCATTGTTAACCTTGCATTTATATCAGTCCAACCTGAGATGTCCTCAAATTAAGTGGAAATAACTACATGTGAACCAAACAAGGGTTTATATTTGGTGCCCTTGGTCAATATAGGTTTGCTTGAAAATTGAAAATGGTGTATGGGTTGAAGTGTTGCTTAAAAATTTTAGTATTTTACACAGAATGTAAAGCATTTTCCTAACATATAATATATATATATATATATATATATATATATATATATATATATATATATAATGGACCATGGAATTTGAAGTGGTAAAGGAAAACTGTATTATAATTAGCTACAAAAACCATGCATTATAGTCAATAACATTGATCTAAGTTTTGTCTGATAGGGAACATAGTTGCATTAATTAGAGAGTTGATGTTTGCAAAGAAAGAGGTTAGTAAACTTGGATTGGAAGAGTTTGATCCAAATTTCAACTTAGGTTGCACGCATGGGTTCCAAATCCAAGGTCAAGCAACAGACAACAAGGGTTGCAAACGAGGATCTATATCTGGGGAATTTCACTATATTTGAGTCTCCAATTGCCACATATATACATAATTGACCTAAAAGGATCTTCACCAATTAATTAATTCATTAATGCTTCATGGCTTGCTATTTATGTAGCAGACATGGTTAGCAAACTTCAGCAACCGACAATTAGTTTAAATTTAACTCTGGTGATCTTAGCATCTCAATTTTAGCTTGATTACTTGTCCAGAGACAAGATTAATGCCAGTAGCTCTTGTTGAAAATATAGTGGTTGACATGTGAAGTTCACACCGTCATGCGTTGGTACTAATTGATGTTTTATGGTTCATCACCGATTTTGACTATAATTGGTGAATGACATGTACGTACGTGGATTGATAATACAACGTAGAATAGAAAGATCAAAACAAAGCCAAGCGATCTCAATTCTTTGGAAGAAATGCAGCTTCTCAAAACGAGTGTCTGGGAAGTACCAAAAGGATTTTTCTTTTTGGCCAGTGAGGTTACCAAAAAATTTGGAAATTAGGAAGTTTGGATTCCCATGTTCGTGAAATCAAGGGGATTGACCTATGCCTTCTCATTTCTTAATTAAGTAATGCATTGAGAAAACTCAGGCGGATTCATTGTTTCATAGTGTATGGATTTCAAACCAAACAGAAAAGTTCTCAATATTATGCTGTACATATATCCTTTTTATTTTTTAAAATTCAACAGTCAAAACATAATAAAGGAATTAAATAAAATTTACAGGCAGTTATACGTTTGGATGACATGTTAATATATTTTTATATTGACATGTTATCTACTATTAATGTTGATCCGACATTATATTGACAATCTGTTGTGTCCAAAAGAAGAATTGTTAATTTTGGATAACACGCTAGTACGTTTTCATATTGACATGTTATCTACTATTACCGTTGATACAACATTATATTGACAATCTGTTGTGCCCCTAGAAGCTGTAATTTAGCAACAAAGTAGTTTGATTCAAGAATCCACTTGATATTATTCAGGATCTTCTCATTCAAGATTTTATGCAACTTTCATTTGATGTCACTAATATATCACCTTTTTTTTTAAATAAAATAAAAGTATTATATTACTATACTTCATTAATTTTGGAAGACGAAAAATATCTGTGAATAGTTATTTATTTATGTAGAATCAATAGAAGAGCAGATAAACTCTCCGAATATGATTCCAATATTGAGCAGTACCTACCAGACATGATTTTTTCACCCGTTTGCTTTTTGTTTTGATTGTATTGTGTTTGCATCTTGCATGCATGTAACTTAAAAGGTCAGATGACATCACTGGTCAAACCCTAACCCTAGTAGTTGAACTGCCCTTTGTGGAACAGTTTGGTGAACAGTCTGAATTTACCCTAAATGGAGAACTGCCCCTTGCCTAATAACCTTGTCATCACCGCAGCACATCAGCTACAGTATTCTTGTAATTTCTGGATTTCCTGGTATTCCAGTAGAAGTATATCGTTTTACCAATTTACCATGCATCGTCTCAGTGTGTAATTAAAGATTAGTTCCGGTGTTTTATTTTGCATGGTGGCTTTTTCTTGAGCTAATCCATATTATTATACCTTAATCACTGGTTTTGGATATATCTTAAGACTAAATCATCAGATGACATGTCACGTTTTCATATTTGGTAGATGAGGGAATTGAAGAGATGACATTTTTGGATCTTGGGATGACAGGAAAAGAAATTTCTATATAATTGCATAGATCTGTCTTGGATTGACTATAATTTTGAGCTTTCTGGTATGGGAAGTTGGTCCATAATTTACATGCAACAACCAAGCTTTATCCCACTAAGTGAGGTCGGTTGTATGAATCCTAGAAAGCCACTGCATTCGATTTTGCACCAAATCTTCCGTTAGCTCCAAATACTCCTTATCTCAGTTTTGGTCCATAATTTACATGCTTAGCAAAAAAAAAAACAATTTCAGCAAAGATTATTTAAAAGGAGGTAGTAAGCCAAAAATAAAGATTATATTATTCAAATAAATTATAATATTATGACAAGGAACGTCTGTTTGTCATTTTGCCTATGGTGGTTTGAAGATAAAAAGGGTTGGTTTCTATAAACTGAGCCACGAGGATACGTGAAAGCAACTTGGAATTTAAAATTCCAAGAATTGGTTGAAAGTTGCAGACTCTTTGAGATCCTTAGTTTGGATTTAAATAACCCCTGTCCTCCTTATGCAGTTCAAGAAGCACACACCAACTTAAATAAAAAGCACTTATAATTCAATAATAATCTCATTCACTTGACTACTACTCAAGTTTTTCTTGGTAGCTGTTCTTATAAGAGTTGAAACCCTCAGCTTCAGCTATACCAAAATAGTGATTTTCGTGCAGACCTACTTCTCTCCATTTTAGTCACCCTGAAGGGGCGGCCGAAGCTCCGGATTCAGATTCCTCCTCTGGTAGCACATAATATATAGCTTTGGATGAAGTAAGTAGTGAGTTTTAAATCTCAAGTGCTTTCAAGAACTAGCTAGAAGTGCTTATCCAAAAAGTTTAAGCTGTTCCACTATTTTATAGAGATAATATTTCTTAAGACTTTGAGAAGGAGAAGTATGGAGGAGAAGAACGAGATGGAAAGGGTTGATGATGTGATATTACCTGGTTTTCGGTTTCATCCGACAGATGAGGAGCTTGTAGGGTTTTACCTTAAGAGAAAAATCCAACAGAGGCTTCTTCCTATTGAGCTGATTAAGCAAGTTGACATTTATAAATATGATCCGTGGGATCTTCCGAGTAAGTTAACTTGTCTCTAATTCATTCTTACAAAGTGCTTTTTTAGTTTGGATTTTTAAACCATTTGCCCTTTTCATGTACTGGATCTCTCATGTTTATGGCCAATTTAGAAAGGCTAAGTGTTCAACAAAAAAATGCTTCTAACTATGTTTAACAGAAAAACTCAAAATTTTATGACAGCGTTCTTTGTCAACCTAGCAGGTGTTTCATGAGGAAGCACTTAACTTTTCAAAATAAATTTCAACATATTTCTTAAATTCTTCTTGCTTTTTGCTTAACTTTTCAAGTGAGCTTATAGCAACTGTTTTAGTTCTTATGACTGAACTTATAAGTTGTATTTCATCTGTGTAAGCAGAGCTGGCAAGTACCGGGGAGAAAGAGTGGTACTTCTACTGCCCGAGGGACCGAAAATACCGGAACAGCGCTAGACCTAATCGAGTCACAGGAGCCGGGTTTTGGAAGGCTACCGGAACAGACCGGCCTATCTATTCTTCCGAAGGCACCAAGTGCATAGGGTTAAAGAAGTCCCTTGTGTTCTACAGAGGCAGAGCTGCTAAAGGGATCAAAACTGACTGGATGATGCACGAATTTCGGTTACCTTCTCTCTCAGATTCAGCTCCACCAAAAAAGCTCTTAGATAAAAGCCTCCCTCCAAATGTAAGTACTAGTTAAAATTTTGGACACCAAAATAAAATAATCCGACTATGAAACTATCGTCTATTTTTTATTAAAGAACTGACTGTCGATATGTCATAATTAATGGTTATATCTTTCTAGTCAATATAACGTGCCTAACATGTTATCGCTCAGCTGATTAAAATACTTCATGGTGTGCAGGATTCATGGGCAATTTGCAGGATTTTCAAGAAAACAAACTCCATGGCACAGAGAGCACTTTCTCACTCTTGGGCCTCTCAGTTTCCAGAGCCTACAGCGTCTAATTTATTCACTCAGCAGTTCAGCTCGGAGAACATGTCCTGCACAACTGACATGGGATCAACCATGCAGTTTTGGAACAACAATGACTTGCAACAACCATCTAACACAAGCTTCTCTGCCTTTGATACTCTTCCTTACAAACCAATCAACCCTACCGAGTCGAAACCCTCCATGTTTGATGGAGAGTTTCCCAATGGCTTCATGTTCTCACCGGTCGAAATGTCAGGACCTATGAATCCTGCATTAATCGGCGATTTGAGCAACCCCGCTGGGAGCATAGACTTTGATGGTTCACAGCAGCAGTTCACCGGCTTTTCGATCGGTTTGCAGCAGCAGGATCAGTTGCAAGGAAACATAGGGACATCAGAAAATGAAGGGGGGTTCAGGAAGAACGTGAGTAGTAGCAGTACAAGCCATTGGGGAACCAGCAGCATCAGATCAATTGGATTTCCATTCAGTTTGGCTTCAGATGATGAGGCTTGGAAGCCAACTCTGCCTTCTGATTCACCACCCTGTCCTAGTAGCTATTCTACAAACAAGTGCTACACTTGATTCGATTCATTTGCAGACGAGAAAATATTTGGTAGGGCTGCCTAATTAGGGCAACTTTCTAAGATAGAGAAATCTTATACTTTTATAAAAGGTGTTTGCACATGTCGTGAGCTGGGCACCCCTACCCAAGTTTTTCTCCTCTCGTGGTTTACCCGTTGTAATGATGCAGCTAGTATCAAAATCACACACCTAGTGTGTCATTGTACAGTTTCCTACATTCCAATCAGACAAGTTTAAGGCAAAATATGCGGAAATTCTTTCATGCTACGTATCATTAAACTCTACGACCATTGGATGACCTAGATTGATTTGGATTATTACTTTTATTGTGGTTCTATGAATCTACACCATCTAATACTCGTATCATTTAATGATACGTAACGTGGAAGTGGAACCCAAAGTATATTGTAATACACTTTTTAAGTATTTGAATGTCTAATTAATTAAATTGATGAGTTTTTTAGTCAATGTAGTGCAAATGCGACTTACGTATCAGCCAAGTTATGAGTTTCATGCTTCACAATGTCATCAATTTAACGAAAATTGAAATAATTCATAAGACAAAAAATTAATTGGTACAATTTTAAATGTGAAAAAATTAAAACTTCACGATGGATTTTGAAAATCACTTCAAAAATGAAAGGTGTAAAACGTAGTCAGCCCAATCTCATATATAAAAATTGATATGGACTATGGACCCTATATAGGGCGTATACCTATTATTAGGCCCAAATGAAACTCAAGCCCGTAACCTTAAAACGACCTAAAGTAAGAAAAGAAAGATTGAAAAATCAGCCTCACAAAGTCAAAACCCAAAAGCAGCTTCTGAGGTTTTAGCTGGGGAAAGGAAAAGGATCCTCGCCGGATCATTTCCTGGAGATCCTAGAGGTTCCGTGATCATGATCGTTCAAGTCAAAAATTATTTCAAAATTAAAAATTTAAAGTTAAATATAAATAGTAGCTAATGAAAACTAACCATAGAATCCTTAGGATCCCAAAAGAAAGATCTAGCAAAAACCCTCACCAGCAAAAAATAAGCTGATGTGGCAATAATCAAAGTAAAATTAAATATACTTAATACTTGCTCATAAAATTAGACTTATATCACGATAATTTGAATTTACCGCAATTGGCACATCCGAAAAGTAATATCGGGTGAAACTGAATCATAAACCAGATAAGCTCAGGGTAATTACTGTTGTATATGTCACACTTCGTAGAAGTAGCTACATTGCAAGACAAAATAAGGATTGTGAGGACTTTGATAGTTCCCTTCTGTATTCAGATTCTATCCTCCAAAATATCAACAAAACGAGTTATATATATATATATCAGTAGAATGCTTCTGCTATCATTTTCTTTCCTTCTTCTAAGTGATATAAGGCTACTGCTCTACGGCAAACTCTACGGCAAACTCTACGGTTTTGACCTGAGTCCAAAAGTATTTTCTAGTGTGGCGGGAAGGAACCGCTATGCCCAACCCGCCTTTAACCTCTTTACCTTTTCCAGGTGCATATTTACAGTTTACCTGCACCCTCATACTATGCGTCTTCAGCTGTCATCTGCCTTCCACTTGCAGCATTTCTCCCCTCTATGCACGGGGACCTCGAGTGCAAATGATTTCATCTGTTACCGGTCATCAGTGGAGATGTCTTCTGCACGAATGGACTACAAAGCGGGAGAAAGACAAAGCACTATTAGGAAAACAAGATAAAAAACAATCAAAGTGTTAGGCAAGTGGAATCATCTTTGATCTTACGTTCGGAAAAGACCAGGTGGCATAGGCAAGAACTCATCATTCCGCGGAAGTGAAATGAGTTTGTGTACTTGCGCATCACAAACCACGCATTTATGCACAGAACCACTAGATGCCAGTATGGCCTGCACTTTGCAGTCGCCGCACCACAGCAAGTGTTGGCAGGGGAAGTTGGCCCATGACATCTGGTTCTGGTTGCAGGCAAAACACTTTCCCTCCAAGATGCTTTCCTTGTAGTTCTGCGTCCATATGAACACTATATATGAACTCTTTAACAATGTATATAAAATCGTAACGTTTAGTTCACTGGCTACTGCTCTCACCTTGTAGAAATCAAATTCACGAAGGAAGAACCCCGAGGATTTGTTCCTATTTCTGGTAAGGGCCTCCAAAACCAAATGCCGCTGTGGATCGCTAGGCTTAGTGCTTCCTGTATTCTCTACAAGCTGTCCTCTTACTTCTTGCACATCATAATCTTTTCGACCATGGAATACAGGATCTGGCTTCAAGAATTGCAGGACCCTTGAATGCTCCCAATGGGATGTTGTATCCTTTCCTGAGGTTACTTCAGGGTTCCCAGAGGAGGGTCTCTCTTTAGGGTACCCAGAGTTTCCGGCACGATCATCAACCGAAAGCTCCAGAAGATGCTTTGAATCACCGCCATCATTAGTTGGAATGTCCCGAACACACTTTGGATCACCAACATCATCGGTTGGAATATCCTGAAGGCACTTTGAATCTCCAACATCATCCGTTGGGAGGTCTTGAAGACACTTTGAATCACCAACATCATCCATTGGGAGGTCTTGAAGACACTTTGAATCACCGCCAGCCTCAACTGAAATGTCATGAAGACATTTTGAATCCCCACCATCATCAGTTGGTGTAGAAAAAGGGGAACTGCAAGGCATTTTGAATGCATGACAAAGGTTGTGGTGACGCCTGGGATTTGGTAGGAGGACCATGTGACTGAGAGATCCGAGTTTTCCAATAGGGACATGCTTAATGGTACATAAGTTGGAGAAAGATTTGATGAAGTCACTGAGCTTAGAGAAGCCAATGTGCGAATGATCCAGTTCTAAGCCAACAGAAGCCCTGAAATCACTTTTCAGAGAGGAGAGAGCATATTCTCCAACCGTGGGCTTTGGCAGACGTTGTAAGAAGCGAGGAAACCACTTCTTGAAAGCCTTTAGCCATACAGGCACGCTTTTATCCTTGGGGCTGCTGGTATTATGTGCTTGAGGGGATGTGTTTGGTTGGCCGTAGACTACCTTATCAAGCCAAGAACCTTGTTTGGGTTTATTTGCTTCCATAATCATCTCGTTGGACAACACCTTTGCTGGAAGTGGAGATTGGCAATTGCAATTCTTTTGTTCTTGATGTCGAAGTGCCATTTTCACCGACTCAGCTGCCAATTTTGGTATTAGGCTTTTTATTTCAACCGGCTTGCCTGCCATGGTGATATAGTGTGCATGAACAGCTGCAGAAACAGATTTCTCCTCTTTAAATGTGACAAATCCAAAGCCTCGAGAGTGTGTCTTGTTTTCCATTTGAGCTAAAATGACTATGGCATCTTCCACCGGCCCAAATTCTTTTTCAAAAAACTTACCCAACGAATCTGATTCGCAAAGTAACATATGAAAATTATGTCATCCAGAGAAATAGAGTTGATTATATATATGTTAAACAAATCATTGATAAATGCTTGAGAGAGTATTCATAATTCATATGACTTAAAGCTTTTTGTATGAAAGTTTCTTAGAGTGGTGAGATTAACCAGAGTCCACTGAAGGAGGAAGTCCTCCTACGAAGATGCGCTTGAGGGCTAATGCTTTATCAACAGGAGAATGATTATGGGCTGCTTCATGCTTCACTTTCCGATGCTCCTCCACATCATGTGAAAAAAAGCACTTAGATCCTCTGACACATCCGCGAGAGGAGTCAAAGTATTTGCAAATCTCGGCTTTACTGCTGGAGTGAATAATTGTAGCATGCACAAACAAGTATGGAAACTTGAGAACAAGCTAACAGATTTAAGGACATACACATGCACAACCACTTACATGCTCACACACTCACACACAAGCACATAACTTGAATGTACCTTTCAGTGGCGGTGTCTTCATATTGCATGGTTAGAAGTGCTTCGCAGGTGCTTGAGAAAGCCTCATTGACTCGTGAACAAGCATGGCATTTATGTTGATTGGTGTCTGCAAAATTGAAAATCGATAGTAAGAAATGTGAAACAAATGTACAATTGATAGAGTTGCTTCATAATTTCCTCACATACACATTTTGAAAATCAACTTACTGAGGCTAACACTGGTCGGGTTCAGCAACATGAAACGCATATCTTGCGAGTTTGTCAGGTCAATAGGTCTTTGTCTACTGGTTATGTTAACAGTTTGCAGACATGGAGATAAATGTTAGCGTTTGAAGTTTGAATTCTGAGAGCCAGCTTCAAATTGGCAAATACAGAATAAACACTAACAACATTGAACTGGATGAGTTGGTTCAATTGTTTCTTACCGCAGATTGAGAATTTCACTATTTGCTCCCCAGCTCAAAAGAAGTTCAGCGCACTCCATGTTGTCATTTCTCACAGCAAAGAACAGTGGGGTTTCTTTAATTTCTGTCTTATACTGGACACCTTCTGGGTCTTCCAACAGAAGGACCTGCCAATTGGCTCAAAGACCATATAAGTGACTTCCATGAAAACTTAAAGTTGCCAACTAGTTTTGGCTGCCAAAAAGTTGATGCTTTAAGAAAATTGAAAACTATGCAGAAAAGAACATATGCAATACCTGAAGTGCCTCTGTGTTACCACTACCAGCAGCAATATGAAAGGAAGTTAATCCTAATTTGTTCCTCTGGCTCACTCGTGCCCCATGCTTAATGAGAAGCCATAAAATTCTGAAACAAGAAATCCATCAAAATTTATAAAGGCAATTAACTCTATGCATCTGTGTGTGTGTGTGTGTGTGTGTGTGTGTGTGTGTGTGTGAGAGAGAGAGAGAGAGAGACTTGATCTGCTGTGGATGCAACAATCTCGACAGTTTGAGGGTCCAATGAAGAGCAGAATTTCCTTCTGCATCATCAGCATCATTTACATCTATATTTGTCTTCAGAAGCAGACGAATGACTGCTTCATCTCCTACCTATCCAAATTCCAACAAGTTTCGAATCACATATCACAGTAAAACCCCAACAGCACACAGTGACACGTATATGAAGCATATCACAAATAAAGTGATGCCCTTCATTTAGCAACTTTTTTCCTTTTCATGCAAGATTGAGTAGCGATGCATTTCCTTCTGCATTGTATTTTAAGTTACCGTGCATGCAGAAAAACTAACTAGTTGGAAGATGATACCCTTCTCATGCAATGAACAGGAATGAATTTTACCAACAAATACCCTAAACCCTAAATTCAAAAGCGGGATTGTCCCTGATATAGACATATATACACACACACACATATACATACCTAATGCATTCTTACCTCACTTCTCTTTAGTGTAATAATATAGTCCTAACTAGTTCTATTGGGAAGCAAATTACTTCCCTTCAAAATATTTAGAGACAATTTGACTTCATTGAACGAGGCACGTGCTTCACAGGTTTTTCTGAAAGACAAACAATATTTAAACAAAAACAAAAGAAACAGAGAAAAGAAAAAGACTCCAAGGCCCACAACACAAGACCAAGCCATAAAAAGAAGCCTGAGGCAGGCAGACCCAAATGTAGGCACAAAAGGGACCATACACAGAGGCTAAAGGCCCAGACCCCAACCACTTATAACTACCACACCACATCAGCACCTGGAAGAGAAGAAAACAAGGATTGTTGTTTAGTGGGGTCGTCAATTCCAGCGTAATCCATTACAAATCCCAAAACGAATGTGTTCTTCGCATAGTCTCCATCAAGCATATCACCACAATCGAGGTTCAACTTTCCCTTTTTCACAAACAAAACTTCAAACTGGCCTCCGGATCACGTGTTCCGTCGCATAGTAAAGTTTTACACATCATAGTTCTCCAAATAAAATAAAATAAAGTTTTACACATCATATGGTACCCTTGTAGCACAAAAGTAGAGAACATTTCGCTCACTACTTTTTAAGTTTTAAGTTGAGGCGAGTATATTTAAAGTCTCACTCATATTAGCTACTATTATTATAATTTAGGGATATTATTTCCTTATAAATATGAGAATTTAAGTTAAAAACGTTACAAAGAGTTTCATACTAATTTATTCGTAACATATTATGCAGTCCAAAGACTAAATCTTCTAAATTCAAAATTAGTATGGCATCTTTATGACCTTATTAAATAATTGACACGTATTTATTATCTTAACTTATCTTAATTTTGTTATTATAAATTTAATATATGTTAAACATGTATTGAGACCACATAAAACGACATCTATTTTGAGTACAGAATATTTAATCTCTGCTGTCCATCTGCAATCATTCCTCAAGGAAAATCACACTCATCATTACGAGGCTACCACTTAACAATAAAAATGCACTAACAAAAATATGGTATTTTTCCTTTCACTGTTTGATGGTTTGAGAACGTTTCTTTTGTATAATGAATCAACAAAAAGGACAAATTGGAGAACTGTTGGGCTTACCTGGGCTGCTCGGATGAGTGGTGACATCACCTTCTTATCCGTACCACTGCTGAGAGCAACAGCTCCGAAGAGCTGAAGCAGCTCTATCTCGTGAAGCAGAATCCTCCTTTTCTCGGCATCGTCGCTCTCCGTGGCGCTCGAGGTGCGTTTGGCCGCCCTCAACGGCGTATTTGAAGGGACCAGGGACAGAGCTTCCCGTATAACGCACTCGTATATTGTCACCTTCTCTTTGGAACCCGAATCGGCATCGCGCAACTCCAACACCGCTTCGTTCACCTTCTCCGCAGCTACTGTAAGCAGAGCCGCTAAAGCAACTATACGGCCTTCAACGGCGTTTGCATATGCCACGTCACCTAGTTCCTTCGTCTTCTCACTGAGAAGTCTCACAGTCGTCAAATCCTGAGACGGAAAAAATAAATTAAATTCACCAAATTGAAGTGAGGTTTTTTTTTTGTTAATATTTAAATTGCCAGCTTTTTCATTTTCTAGGAAGCCAAACAGGCCAAGAAAAATAAAAAAAATCACCAAAAAATTTTTAAAAAAAATAAAAACCTTTTCACCAAGAACAACAACCAAGTCCTCAATGGTGTAATCATCCGGAGTCCAAATCACATCGATCCTGAAAATCAAAATGCGAATTAGGGTTTATCATAATTCGGAAATTAATTATAAATTACTTTTAAGGACAAAGGGACAAGAAAGAAAAAGAACAAAAAATTAGAAAGAGGAACAGTTAATTAATAAAAATGTTGAAATAGGTCAAAAGAGGACTGAAAAGGAAAAAGCAGAATTTCCATAAGAAGCAACATGTGCAGTGGGGTTTATGGGGAAGGGATCACCTTTTACCTTTGAAGGCAATCAAATTCTAAAAACGACTGTGTTTTGGGACGTTGTAATTGGTTGTTACCTGCTGTTAGAGAGAGACAGGTCCAGAGCAAGCTGTGCGCGTCCGTCTCGTGTCCTCAGGCCCGTACGAGCGTGTTTCTTTAGCAAAACCTCCACGCACCTCGCCGCGTGAGCCAGAGCCGCCGTGTGCAGCGCCGATTTCCCGGAATCGTCGAGCTCGTTTATCAGCGGTGTCTCTCCGACCTCTCCGGCTAGCAATGCCGACGCGCACTCCGGTGAGTCGAAGTTGCAGCAGAGGTGGAGGAGCTTCGACACCGTGCTCCGGTCAATCGCCTCCCCAGACGCCTCCGCGAACCGCTTCGCGTGAGTCACGAGTTGTGCCTTGTTGTCTCGGAAAACCGAGTTGATCAGGAGCGATTCGGCTTCCACGAAGTCGAACCGTTCGCTCTTTGCACTCCGGAGATCGTCGCCGGCCTTGGACGCGACGTTTTCGTCGTGATTGTAAGAGAAATAGGTGCATTTTGGAAGCGAGTTGGTCAGGAGCTCCGTCGCTCCAAAATTTTGTATTTCCTGCGATTAAGTAGGACTTTCAGTACATTTTCTCAAGAAAATCAAGATTAAATCAAAGATAATCAGGATTAATCAAGATTAATCGAGATTAAGAGTTCGTGGCGCACCAGATTCATCAGAAAACCCTAATTTTTGAGCGCGGATCATAAACCTCTGGACCGCCGGAGCAATGCAGCAGGCATTTATCGGAGTAACTACACGGCGGTTCGTATGCAAGCTTTGAGGTGGTAGCGATGGCGAAACCCTAGATTTAGGTTTACAGTGAGAGGCGTTTGGACGCCGTGGAAATGTTTCAGTGTCTGGTCAGTCTGGTCTTTTCACTCTTGAGTCTGAGGAAGCAGCGGAGAAACGAAATGGGAGGGAAACGGAGGGCCAGTCTGTTCCTTATAGTGGCGGACTTCAGACGGTTAATTAAACTCGGTTTATGATCCAACGGAAATTAATAATTTATTTATTTTTCCATTTACTTATTTTTTTTATTTTTGTAATACAAATAATAATAGGTAGAAATTTAGACTGAACCACGTATTAATTTTTGTAATACAAACAATAATAGGTGGAGATTTAGACTGGACCACACTATAATTTGATATTAAATTCGTCATCCGTTAGAATTGCTCGCCACTCTCCAAGGTCAAGGATGGAATCGAACCGTCGTTCTAGGAGTTGCACTCCGATACATTTCTACTATGTTACCTAGCCAAACCGCCACCTCATGTGCTAAAGACTTGAAATCTTCAATTATAAGCGGAAAGGAATAATAGTAGATTATAATACTAAGTGACCATTTATCTTTTGTGTTTAGATCTACTGTAAGATAGATTTCTTAATTTAACACATGTTACGCGATATGATCAACCCACTTGTGCTATGACATAATGATTTATCACTAATGTATATTATAAGTCAATAATATTTTAACTTTATTGTTTGTTTATTGTACAACACGTAACAGTGTGAACAGATATCACATTGTAAACTTTTCCAAAATAGCACCTCAAACAAAAATGGATAAATACCTAGAAGTTGCCCAAAACTCAGCAAAGTTTTGTTTCACAGTATGCCAAATTTAAATTTAGTATGGATACTATAGTCTATAGTTTTTCAAACGCCATATTTGTCTCAGTTATTTATTTGGGCAGTTTTGAAATAATGCGTGATGTGCATTAAAAGAAATAAAAATTAAAAAAAAAAACCCAAAGAAAAACACAAGTTATTTGAAAAACGATAAAATAATTTATATTGGATTTTCTAAATTACGAGAAGAATTTGGAATGAAAGGGTTCGCTTTGACCGTTAATAGTAGATAATTGAAGAAAGTTTGAACTAGTGATACATCATGTTGAAAAAAATGCAATACCTCACCTTTGGTTTAGTTCTTTAAATCAGTCAACGAAAGCGTCATAGCTCATTGATCTGGCTCCATGGCACAGAAAATGTTTCATAGCTCAAGCGATTCACGGAATCGAAGTCCAATCTTACGAAATTGGGTGATTTTTGCACAAAAAAATTTTAATCTGAATCAATGGAGTCTAATTTGAAACTAGCTTGCCCGTTAATTGTCGCTCCTTTTTGTTGGTAATATTTGTAAACGCATGGCCCCATTGATTTTCAAAAGAAGCAAGTTTTTGTTCTTCCTAAACAAGTTAGGGCAGACGAAAGGGGGAAAGTAGTACAAAAACCGCACTCCCGCTAGGAAAACTCTCCAAACTATAAAAACTTAGGGCATAGAACCCAACCAAATGTTGCAAACCACACTACAATTCTTTGCGAATCTAAATCTGTTCCAGCTGAAGCTGCTCGTTCATATCTTCGTGCGAATTCCAGATTGATACCGTGGCGTTGCAAACAAGGAACACATTGCTTCGAGTTGTTGATCATATGACATTTGATCCGAGCAAGCGTAACCACCATGCTTCTCAACTTCTGCAGCATATGCTCCAATCTCAACGCCTCGCCTCCCTCAAACAACGTCGCAATTTAAGTCCAAGTGACCGGAACCTTTTCAATTCGAACTTTCCCACTTATTACAAACTAAATAGGCTTGATTGTGTTGGATCGATTCAAGGTTGGTTGATCATGGTCGATGTTGAATGTTGGAACGTAGGGAGTTTCGGTGCTTTCGCAAATCCTTGGTCGTTCCACTTGCTACCCGGTCAGCGTAATGGTACTCGTTTTTCTACTGTCAACTTCTTCTTCGATCCGATATCAGGAGATGGAGTTATGCTTCCTTCTCAATCCACGGTTCCATGTGAGGGCAGCGACGGGCCTTCCTTCTTCAAAAAAGTAGTAGCCTCTTCAGCGCCAACAAGCCCGCATTGTCTCGTGGCAGCCCTGTGTTGGCATGGCCGGCTAGCGTTCTGCAGACCGACCGATCAATCATGGACTTTCGTTGATCAAGGCAAGGCCAGAGGGGTCGAGTTTTGCGACATAGAAATAATTAACGGGAAACTACACGCTGCATTAAGGAATGCGCCCGAGTTTTTAGTAGAGTTCAACATTGAACTAGACGCCGCCCGCCCTCCTGCCTATTTCGCCGAAAGTTTGCATATGCTTGAACCTGTGCAAATTCCTTGCCATATTACTACAAGCGATCAAGGGCTGAAAGATTTGACGTCAAAGGAACTGTGTATGAAGAATGTTCTTCATCGGAGTTATAGCTTTGATCTCGAGGAGGATGAGGTAGTTCCCTGGACCGAGATCAGATTTGATGATGATTCCACTACTGCTCCACCTAAGAAGGTTGGATTTAGAGTAAGTCGGGGACCGGAAAACATCAGGAGAGTCTTCAGACAAAACTGGAAAACCACCAAGCGGATGCATCAAACGCAGTGTGGCCGAGATCAAGCTCCTGGCCTCCTTTGCTTAGTTAGATAGTCTCTGCACTCGGCTGCAGAATTTTTTTTTTCACATTAACAACAATAGATCCTTATCCCACTCGGTTGCATGAATCATAAAACATCATTGCGCTTAACATGTTAATTTTTTAAGTTTAGTACAAATTCATGAGCTTAATTACGTGGTGTCACCTTTAAAGTTTTGAACATCTAGGTATTAACAAATCTAGTAATTTATTAATTCCAATTGTTCAGTTGAATAATTTTTTTGTTATTGGTAAATTACAAATCGACATGCACGTTCCCGGTTTAAGCCCCTTTTTTTCACGTACACTTTGTTTCGGGTTTAAAAAATGAGTAATGCTAGGTAGACCAAATTTTTTAAACCAAATTTACAAACTAAATGATGTGGTTGTAGATGATTAGATTATTAATTAAGTGTCGATTAACATGTTTGTTTCTTATTGGTGACACGTCATTTGATTTGCAATTTGGATTAAAAAATTTGGCCTTCCTAACATTACTCTTAAAAAAATAGTATGCTAGCAACATTTTCTTTCCGAAAACATACAAAAGGAAGCAGAAAACGGGCTTAACCCGAGGACATGTTGATTCGAAATCAAGCAATTTGATTCATTTATTACACTTTATTGGCCGAAAATTTTGAATTGAAACAGGTAGTATTTGCATGGATTGATTTGGATAAGCATATGTCACAATCCATATTTTTAATGTTTCTTAATAAAAAAAACTTATAACAAAAACGTTTACGAGCAGAAGTGTTTTCCAAAAGTTATATTGCGGGAAAGATGAGAAAGGCTAAGTACTTGTGTACTAAAAGAACCGCAAGGGAAAGTTTACAGGGCTTGCAAATCTTGACAAGATTCCCATATTCCCACCAAATCCTATATCAACTAAGGACATGCAGGAGTTGGACAAACCCAATGCATGCAAGCCTGAAGCCACGCACACAGAAATTGCTCTTTCAATCTCTTAGAACCTTGCATGCTCATCGTATAAGATCTTTACTGAATTCCATATACAAACTGCATCATGGTTCTGGGAATGGATTCATTAATCCGGATTGGGAGGAGGATCTATAACTATAAGCATACAATTGGTAATCGGTCATCGGCTCGAGTTTCCGACGATGATCGGAGCAAGCGTTGCCATTCTCCTGCTCGTCAACTTCCCCGGCTTATGCTCCGCTCCACTAGTCGAAAACTCAACAATACACATCGTAAAGATCATTGTTTTCTCAGTCTAAGCGACGAAAAGATTTACAAACTATCGAGTCCCTCTTGTAATAACGACTGTGTTGGGTCGATCGAGGGTTGGTTAATCGTGGTTGATCATGAATTCGTCCAGCCGGCCGAGGGTTTCAGATCATTCCAGTCATTGAATAACGAGAGCCGTAGTTCTTTTGGTGCTATCTACTTCTTGAATCCGACATCACGCGAACGAGTTAGAGTTATGCTTCCATCGCAATTCAACTTTCCTTGCGGCAAGGGCAACCAACAGTCCTTCAAGTTCAAGAAAATAGTAGCCTCTTCAGCACCAACGAGCCCGCATTGTGTTGTGGCAGGACTTTGTTCGCAAGACTTTGACGACCAAAAAAAGGAAAAAAGACTTTGTTCACAAGGCCGTTTGGCAATTTGTAGGCCTACTGATATGTCATGGACTCTAATTGAAGGTTGGGATGTCCGAGGGCTCGACTTTTGCGACATAGAAATAATTGACGGGAAATTATACGCGGCAACAAGAGAGGCATCGGAGTTTATCATGGCGTTTGACATCGAAGATGCCATGAAAAACGTTGGTCATCCTAACTATGCTGTTGAAAATTTGGTTATGCGTAAGCCCGGGCCAATTCCTTTACAAATTACCACAAGGGACGATGGAGAAATCAGAGACGACGTTTACCTAGCAAAAGATGCTGCATCGAAGGAGCTGTTCATGATTTTCCGCGGTAATAGCTTTGTTCGTGAGAAGGATTCGATAATCTGTTGGTCGGACATCAAGGGTTGTGACAATTTCGTTATTCCGCCGGAGACTTTTGGATTTCAAGTGTTCAGGTTGGAGTGTGCTGGTAATGGTCATGAATGGGTGATAGTTTCGGACCTTGGCGATCGAATATTGTTTGTGAGCAAGGCTAGCAACATGTTCCTCTCTGCAACCGATACTGTTTGCGAGAAGACACTTGAGAGAAACTGCATTTGTTTTGCGTTCGATAATTTCTGCTCGAGTTCACCGTCGAGGGGGCGCGATATTGGGGTGTTTTCGTTGACAAACAAGAGCATCATGAACTTCAACTGCCTCAAGGATTTACGTGGAGAATTAGACGCTCCACCTATATGGTTCACATCAAATAATTGATGACTTAGTTAAATTGCTTTTAGTTAAATTTTCAACATACCCAGCTAGGTTAATTTGTCATCCATTTTAAATTTTAAGTGGTGTTCAAGACGAATGGATACTTTGAGTCTCTAAATAGATAGACTCAAGGAGGATAGAGACCCCATTGGTGATGCCATAGTATGTATGAACAACCTCTTATTCAAAAACCGAGATTAAATTATTATGTTCAAGCGTCATTTCTGAGCTGTTAGGGTTTTTGGTAATTTTATTTTTAGTTTGTTCAGTGTTTTTGTTTATTTTTTAAGATCAGAATTCATATGAAAGATTGTTATCAGTGAGCACAGTACAAATGAGTAAGATTCTCTATTTCCCAAATCTACTCCTCTCCCTCCCTTCCTCTTTCACGAACTAGGATTCTCTGCCCTCAAAATCTCCTACCCTTTTCTCTCCCCCTTCCACATTTTCTTCTTTGTTTTTCTCTCTCTATAAAAAATTCAACACACGATGTTGTTGTGGCTTAATCATGACCGTTCAAGTAGGAGGGAGAGAGAAATTTAAAGGGAATAGAATTCTACTCCCTCTCTCACTTTCCTCTTTACCATTTTCTCTCAATAAAAATGTCAAATACAAAATGTTGATGTAACTTAATCATGACCGTTCAACTAAAAAAGACTGAATTTTCTAGTAAACAGTCATCTGCCTTGGCTCTCTCTTCCACCAACTCTCCTCTCACTAATATTCTCAACTCTCAAAACTTGGGCATTACCCTTTTGTTGTTTCATGCATATCATATGAATCCCACGAGTGTCACCATAAACTTACCCAAACCAAAACTAATGGGCTTTTTAAGGCCCATTATTCAATTTCTTACGATGATCCATTATCTCCTCTGTCTAAAGCCCAAAAGGGGTTTGCTTCTTATGTGTTTTGCGTTTTGTGTCTTAGAACTGTTTATATTGAAGAAATTTCATTTCGTATTACATGAGGAGAAAGATGAAGTAAATTGTTCAGCCCCCTCAAATAATTGGAATTTTATGTCCGTTTTGCTTTTCTAATATTGTGGATGTGTTCATGATAAGTGCGAGTAAACATTTGAAAATTTAATTTCTAACATAATTTTGTACATATTGACTATAAATCTACACAAATTATGATATGTCTATCTAAATTTGTTCTCGGCACTTAATGTCAGAATATTAATATTAATAAGAGAATTATTATTAGCATTTTAAAATAATTATTTTGCATTCATCTCTACCAAAAAAAGGGAAAGCAAAATTTCTGCGAGAGAATGCCAACAATTACTTTGATGCCTAAAATTGCTTAAGAAAACAAGTGACACGGAACTACAGTGAGGATGTGAAAAGACTGTAAAGCCCTCACACACAGACGGTAATGACTAAAGAATCATTACAAAACCCTGGCGCTGGTTTTCCCTCGCTTTCCCGACATAAAATCAGGGTTTTGCTTTGCCTCCAGAGCTAGGGTTTTGCTTTCTCACGATGGTGGCGGACGCGGAGAAGAAGGCCAAGCTCACTGAGCGAGCTCCGGAGGACGACGCCTATCACTTGGACAAGGAGTTCGTGCTTTCCGTTGAGAAGTTGCAGGAGGTTCAGGACGAACTCGACAAGGTTCTGTAGCCTCTCTGTTCTCTCCCTCTCTTTCTCTTTATGCTGCGTGTGTGTGTGTGTGTGTGTGTGTGTGTGTGTATTGGCAATGTGTATGCATAAAAGTCTCTGTATGTCATATAGCTCATAAGCGTGGCTTTTAATTTCAATTTTTTTTGGGGATTTTAATCACCTCGCTGAGCTTTTCATTTTTAGTTTTTATAACATTTTTCCTTTTGTTTTTTGTGGTATGAGTGGTGTTGGTATCTGAATTTGAATTCGTATGTTCTTGGTATTTTAGAGAATGTGACCTGAGGCATCATCTTCTAGTGAAGATTTTGGAATTCGGGTTTTTGCAAGGTTTGGGAATCGAAACAGGAGAAATTTATGTTCGTGTGAGTGTCTGTTTAGGCTATTTTGCGTTACTTGTGAGTCTTGCAAGACCTTTTTCTTTCTTTTCGTCATTATAAAGGGAAAATCGTGCATAAGATTGAGTATTTTGTTTCTTTTTTCGTCAGCTTTGCAAGAATTTGTGGGGAATGTAGTTGGCAACGTTATTAGGTCATATCAAGACAGTGTTAATAAATGAATTTCCTATGAAACCTTCCTTTTGGACTTGTTGATTTGTGATAAGAAGGTTATATTAGAATGGTTTGGTTGGTTCATTGGATACAGCTTAAGATTTCATATTGGTATATAATGCTGATGAAGCTTGAAATTGCATTGGCACCCCACAGGTTGATGACGAAGAGAGTGACAAGATTTTGGAAATTGAGCAAGAGTGTAACGAGATACGCAGGCCCGTCTATGTGAAACGGAATGAGATAATAAAAACCATTCCTGACTTTTGGCTAACTTCTGTTAGTGATTCAATCTATTTCACTTCATCTTGTCCAGAATGTTTAATGGTTGATACAGAATTTGCGCATGTGTATAACTTGTGCATTATTGCTCCACGCAGCTCATGAGCCATCCTGTGCTTTGTGATATTTTGAGTGAAGAAGACCAGAAGGTCGGACAAATAGTTCGTTACTTTAGCTTAGATTTTCGTTTATCCTCCTATTGTCTTAATTCTTTCAGCTGACTGAATCTTAACAGTTATGTGTATTTACTATTTCTGTTATTTTCTTCTTGACACAGATATTCAAGTATTTAAATTCTATTGATGTGGTGGACTTCAAAGATGATAAGATGTTAGGATACTCCGTCACATTCGTAAGCTTCTTGTTTCCTTGTTGAGTTTATCTTGGTCACACACACATTCTATTCTCCGTTCGCTTTTCTTTTTTCTCTTTGTATTTTGCTCCAAATATATAATGCCCATTCTCTCCGATAGTTTTTGAATTAGTCTTTGCTAACGCCTCTTTCTAATTCCTCTATTTCAGAACTTTAATGGCAATCCTTATTTTCAAGATACAAAGCTGACTAAAACTTTTACATTCATTGATGGTGAGACAACAAAAATTACTGGTACTCCCATCAAATGGAAGGAGGGCACGGTATTCACCGCACTTGCCACTTTGGCCCTTGTCGTCTTCTTTTTTCTCCCTTCATAAAATTTACTGGAGTTGTATATTGTGTAGGGTCTTGCAAATGGAGTTACCGACGAGAAAAATGGAAGGAAACGACCACATGTTGATGAGAGGTTATATTCTTTTTATTCTACGTGTTCTTTAATAGTTAATACTGTTTTGTTAGGCTAGGGTTCAAGGGTTTATGAACTATTTGGTCCTCTTTTTTGCTTGGCATAAAATGTGAGTCCCCTGTTTTTTTGTACATCTGAACCAGAAAGTAAAACATTTAGTTAGATTCTGTTCAAATTTTTTTCTGCATAAGACTTAAATCCATCTGTTGCTGTAAACTCTTGTCGCTGAGCGATGTAGTTATCTTCTCTTTGATTTAACAGGCGTATCAGAGATTAGTATTTGCTAATCTATTTTAATTATTGCAGCTTCTTCAGTTTGTTTGACTCAGCTATTGAACATGACGAGGTAACGCCTGTTTTTGTTTATCTATATTCACGGAGTAACGCTTGTATGTATCTGTGCGTGCTAAATTTTCATATGTTAAATGCTTCATTTGAAAGCAAATTCATCTGATAAATATCACTCGGGAACCATCAAAATCGATGGTAGTTGTTTGCCATTGTGTAGTTTTTATAGTTTCATCCTTTTAAGATTTAACTGTAGCCGGTTCCTATGGGGTTTAAATTGAAGTTGAAGAAATCTACTTTTATTTTCCTTTTAATCCTTACTGATCTTTCGTTCACTGTGACATTGCAGATGGTTGAGATAATTAAGAACGATTTATGGCCCAATCCTCTAAAGTATTTTAATAATGTAATATTTTCTTCTCATGACTGTATATTTGTTATGATTTTGAGCTTTGAAGTTTCCCTTTTCAATCTAACCATGGCGGGCAGGGTAACTTTTTGAATTCGTTGTTTCAGGAGGCTGATGAAGAGGAGGTCGATGAAGAGGATTCTGAAGACGATGAAATGGTAACAAGGATGAAATTTCACTATCTATATCTTGCGTGCATCTTTACTCTTCTTTTCTAATGCGTGTTGTGGTTAGACCCGATGTTGTAAGGATTTGCGATGCGCACTTGAATTACATCTTCTGTAGTGTGTATAGGCAAGTCATGCGTGCGGTACATCCATAGTTCAGTTGACATTTTGATAGGTTCTCTTTGTTTCTTTGTTCGGTTCTGCTTTTGAAGTCATGGTTTTCCTTTTCATATTCATGGGCGGGTTCTGAGAGGCGGTCGATCGCTCACTTGTGTCCCACAAATCGGGATCCCCATCTCCTTGAGAGTCTTGTTGCATATGTATATTCATTCTAGTCAGAGTTCATCACCTTGGATATTATTATTGAATTGAATGATTTTCCTAACTTCTGGATGCACATGTGCAGGAGAATGGTGACGAAGAGGAAGACGATGACGAGGAAGATAGCTAGATTCTTCTGGGGCCGTCTTCATTTTTGTAGCTCCTTCATGAATAGCGGCGATAGAAACATCACCGGTTTTTTGTCTTGGTCAATCAGCGATATGAAGGGTTCTAGTAGGATATACGGGAAAAGAAGAAGCCTTGTTGCATATAAATTAGTCTCGGTTTATCGTTTAGGCCTTTTGGGTTTTTGTTTTTGTGTGGTCTACCGGCTATCAAAACCAAGCACAGTAGCATTTTAGAATTCATACAGGTAACGTCATTTAGTGGGATAAGATTTAATTGTTGTTGTAGTGTACCCGCTATATATAGTTCAATATTATAGCTAATGAATTGTATTCTGGTTTATTTACCTCCAAATATTGCCTGATTTTTTCCTAGAGGTTTAAACTCAAAATATCTTGGTTTTTTTGTCACGTTGGAGAGAATTGTCATGGGGCGGAAAGGGATCCTCTTCGGATTTCTTCCACCAAATCCATCAATCCGGGTCCTTGAAATTTGATCTAACGGCTAAAAACAGGGGCTCTTTTTAAAAGTTATAATAACTTTAACCGTTAAATCAAATTTCAAGAGTCCGGATTGGTGGATTTGGTTGAAGGGATCTGGAGAGGATCCCTTTAAGTCATGGGGCTTGTCCTAATTCTGACCCAACAACCCGCCCTCCCTCATCGCATTAGCTAGCCCGAAGGGCTTAAAGCTCTTTGATAATATAAAAAGGTAAGGCTAGTTGTGTGGACCGCCGTCGAGGCCTACGTCCACCGTACACATCACTGAGATTCCTCAAATGTATCCGGCCGATCGGCCAAAAAAACCGGCTTTTTGGAAAGCAGTACAAATCAAGTAGTAAAGATGTAGGAAGGTGTCCAAGAAGAGTGGCCCCAATGCTGAATGGATAGTGTAACTGAATTAAGGAAGTCATTTGGCAAGGGTATAGCTTTGTCGGGTAAGAGGAGCATTCACCCTCTGCACCCGACGTCTTTCGGAGTTTGAATTCTTCTAATATGAGCTATATGAATCCTAGAACGCCAATGAGCCGTCAGAATCTCACGAGGCTCCCCAAAAAAAATGCAACAAAGTTGGAACGCAGAGTAATTGTATTCCCAGCTGAAGTGTATACTAATATGAATCATTCATGGCTATTGTATTGTACAAATCACATCTTTACCTAAGAAGAAAATGGGGATTGAATCCCTCCCATACCGCACCCTCTCCCAATTTCGGAACCAGGTCGTCACCGTTGGAACCAACTGCATCCTCGTGCGATTTAACCACTAACAAATACAGGTTAGAGATCAAAGGGTTCCTAAGAAACGGATCGATAGCTTTACCGAGTTTGGCAACATCAGACTGTAGATGCTTGTTATCGCCAGTTTTCCCGTTGAATATGCAATTCGAGAGGGCGTAGAAGGCGAGCAAATTGGCATACAGGGGCAGAAATGCATCCTTGTGGTTGCCCGCTCCACCAACCCAATCCGCTCCACCTAGTTTCGCAATGCGGTCCTTGGCAAATGAGGTCAACTGGCAGGAAAATCTGAGCCTCCAATCATGTAGATAATCACTAAACTGTTGTTTGTTCCGAAAGTCAGCCGCCCAAGATTTTGAAATTCGAAGCTTGTCCAGTTGAGAACAACACAGTTGACAGATGAACAGCTTTTCCTCGTGATGATTGTCAATTTCCTTATCAAATACCTGTCTCACAAGATCTCCTTTCGGCACCTCACGATTTGAAGCATTCAGCACCCAGCGTAAAAGATAATCGAAATACCCAATCCAGTGGCCAAAGACGGAAGATAGATGCTCAAAACAAGATCCTATCACTTTCTCCACTTGCGTCGGGACTACTCCACCATGAGAGCTACCGGATCTTTTGCTCGTAAAACACCCTTGAATGCCCATGGCAAGCCTTTCTCTAATCTCATCATCTTCATCCTCCAGCAGCTGGATGCATGTGAACCATATATCTAGTATTTGATGTGCGTAGAAATTCACCGCTTCTTTTGGTTCAAAAGTAGAACATGGATTTTCAGAAGGGATTCGGTTATTGAACACAGTGTAACCGATAAGCTCAGCTTGCTCTAGCAAACCAGATGCTATGATAGACTCTGCTGCTGCCATGCGCATGTTTATTGGCTCAGACGAGGCACTATGTTTCATAATTACGTTGGTGAAAAAGGAAATTATGCCATAAAGTCGGGTCAACTTTTCTAACCGATCAGAGTCACTGTTATCCGAAAGAACAGAAGTTGTTAATAAACCTGCAAACCTCTTTATGCAGATTCCGAAGCAGCAGATGAGTGTTTGTTGAGCTTTTGCATGTCTCGTGAACTTGTACAACGAAATCAACTTATCCCAAAGCAGAAATACAGAATCGCATTCCATACTACCAATGTAAATTGTTTCCGTGCATTTTACATCCCCAAGCTTCTGAAACTGCAGTGTATTCCAAGTGAATAGAATCCTCAGAATGTAATACGAGCATCTGTGGTACTTCTCCATATCCAATAGATTAACCACTGTCGTTTGGAGGTTAGTTCTAAACCAGTGCTGAATAACCCTAATCTCACTGCTGTTATCATGGGACTCATGACCAGATTCTGTTGATGTTATGAATTTCAGCAGCCACTTCAATGTTGCAAGTCGAACTTCATATTCTGAATCCGACAAAGAGCGGACCAGCCTTTCCTGGAGTCCCGCAAAAGAGTTTTCCATTTCAGGTATCTCCATAAATCTTGAATTACTCTGAGAATACCTCTGAGGCGTCTGAAAAACCTCTTCAGCCATTTTATCAGATGCTTGAAACACGCAACTGAAATAGGAGACTGCTGCTTGTTGTCGGAGTTCTGCCATTGTTGGATCATAATACGAACGCCCATTAGAAGCTTTTACATCTAAGCATTCTGTAGATAACTCCAAAAGTAGGTTGCGGAGAGCATAAACGTTTTTGCTCGTATGGCACGTCCTTGCAATACTGAGCATGTGATCCAGCAAATTTAGGAAAGAGGCATTGAGGATTGGACAAGGGCACAATCTGGGTTTTCCGATCCATGAATGCGCTAAAAGAGCTTGAAACAAATCACCAAGAATCTGATCTTTCTTTGAGGAATCAGCCAGATTTCTACAGTTCGTATCCAAGAGAGAGCTCAACTGCAATAGAATTCCATGAGTCCAATTATAAGAACTCTGTTGTCTTCTTCTGGTTTTATCAAATAATAGGGACAACTCAGGAGTCCATGTAGCTTGGTCATCTCTTCTAGGCAACTCGGATACTATATTGAGGAGAACACTTGGCAACTTCTCGTTAGATACCAGACCCGCTAAAGCTCTAGATGCAAGAACACGGACTCTTAGATTGCTTTGTGTTGAGCACTTTCTAATGAAGGGCATTAACAGAAAAGGATCCACGTCATCTCCAGTATCGCTTGCGATTGTTGAGGGCTTCAGCCTGGATAACAGAATCAAGACAGGGCACAAGCTTGGGTGCACAGCATTTTCTAGGTTGGATTCAGATTGTCCAGATATCCCGTCCCCAAGCAACACTGTCGCAGCTTTCAGTTCCTTGATTAGAAATGGATGCAATAAGGGATACCTTCAAGGAAAAAGGATATTTTGATTAAAGTTACAGTTTACTCAGGAAACCAAATAAAAAATCAAAGCATTTAGCAAGAACCCATGATAGTACGAAATAACTAGTCAAGGAATCCATACCGATGAAAAAATTCCACCCCAGTTAGCGCACGCCTTGATGACTCTCGTTTTTGGACATTAAGGAATCCAATCATGCGACGTACCAAAGCAGTGTATGCCAGACAAGCACTATTCCGGACCTCCCAGTGGGGAGAAGAAAAGGAGCGAACTGAAACAATCATAGCCTCAGCAGAAAAACCTGAGGTATCAGCAGCCAGGTTTGTATCATTGAAGGCGGCCCTGAGGACATTGAATGCATGTACAGTAGGAATGACACCCTCATCACGGATCTTTGAAACCTTGTCACTAATATCTATATCTGACGAGACCGCAGACTCAAAAACTTTGTCCGACTTAATTGAGGGCAATTTACCCATGTCGCCATTAGAGTTGTTGGTTTCAACCAGACCCACAAAAGATGCATTAGCAACATCTATGAGCCACCGTAAAGCTCGTGGGAGAAGTTTCTTAGGTGCACCTTCTGGCTCTGAGAGGAACAGTGCTATAAACGCAGCAGGAATACCTGCACTTCTCCTTAACAAGTCATCCACTGTTTGACCCTTGGCCACGGTTCTGTCCATAAGCTGCTCCATCCAGGATTCTGTTAACTTGCAAAGTCTGAATGGTGATGGCATAATCCAACAAATAAAAGTCATGAGAGGCATGAAAACCTTATACTAAAGTTGTTGCCTTGACATAAATAATAACATAGTATATAATATTACAATGTACAAACTTGAAAAATAACTATAAAAAAAAAACCATAAACATACCGAGGATCATTTGAACAAAGTAACCGGTTGCAAAGAGCTGTAAATCCGGCCCTCGTTTTATCAATTGCACCGTTGTGCTTCATCTTCAAAAGGACTTCCAAGAAGTGATTCCCAATTCTTTCAAGTTGTTTCACATCAAGCATTGCATCCGAAGCCATCATAACTGAAGCACAAGAAGAGGTGGTTTCTGAATCTAATGATTCTGAGGAAGGGGTACTTGGTAAAGGAATCTTTCTTGTGATAGTTCCCAAAAGAAGACTCACCTGAAAATTTATGGCAAAATTAACATGGTCCACATTGACATAAATTTACAAAACCTTGGTCTTGACTGTACATTCTCCGTACTACAATATCATTTATCCTCGGCATTTGAGGGTTAAAGTATATAGATTCAACTATAAATCCATGTTCATAACTTCTTAAAGAAACTATCACATCAATGACATATTAACTGCATTCTAATGCAAAACCATAAGTTAACGACAATTTGATTACCTCTTTCATCGCAAGCCAACAGCCAACCATTACACTTTGTTCTGATCGCCTGTTATTCTGGACAAATTTGTAATTTTTGTCTTCATCCTCCAACAGAGATGTTTTCACCTCCACCTCATCTGGAACCTCTGATAGGAAAGAATCATCATCATCAACAACCACTTCATCCATGTCCTCAGGGAGATGCCAAGCATCTGCAGAGACGACCCAAAGTGCCAAAGAAGTTATTCGCATTACAAGCTCCAAGAGCTTCTCTAGTGAATGTCTCATCTCTGAGATACTAGACTGTGCTATGTCAGAGTTGAAGTCCAATTCCTCAAAAGCATATCGTAGAGTGAGTAATACCCCATGAACAAAGCTGTTCTGACATGCTTCAGAAAGATCCTTCTCCCCTTCCTCTATGGAAACATCCAACCATTCAATCAGTG